CCGAGCAGAAATTAGCAGGCATTAAATGTCTGAAAACTATTTTTCGTATCGTTCAAAAATTCCAATACCTACCTAAACCGAAAGGTATCCAGTCTGATAAGTACTGAAATAACAGTTACAGTAATAGGTATGTGTATAATTAAGTATAGCACGGAGTCATACAGATAACAGTGAGCATTTCAAAATTTTTAAGAAAACAGAGGTAAAAGGACATCTATGTACATAGTTACGTATACGTACCTGGGCAACTATGTAGTTACATTGTACATGTAGGAACTGAATTATTAATTAGTGCCTATATGTAATTACATATTTATGTTTGCTATCGTAGGAGAGCATCGTAGCCAAATTAAGTAGGTACTGAGCAGGTAACCATTGCACTTTAATACTAAATAACTTCGAAATTAATATTTATTGCGAAGAATGACGTCACTAATTTTGATAAAATTGCAATTTATGATAATATCAATAAAGATGAACGTTACTATTGTTTGTTATTGTAACTGATGACTGGAAGTGATTTTTAGATATTGTAATTTAATTTCAAAATGATATACCTAATTACCAACTAGTTATTTCGTTCAGTCATCAGCCCCTTAATCTATAAGCTAAAACTTGATATAGTTATGTTACCCAAAGGAATAAAGAATTGAGAGCCTTTAGTCATCGTTGATCACATCATATCACCGCTTACCATTAGGCGAGTAGAAAAATAATACAGAATGACTATTAGGTACCTACTTAAATAAAAAGTATTTATTGAATACCTAACGCCCGAATACTGAAAGGCTACTCAATTGAAAGTTGTACTTAAATATCGTGCCATCTCTGTCATTTTACATAGAATTTGTAGAGACAGAAACTATACTTAAGCGGGCTTAAAATTGAGTGACGTATGAGTATTTGGACATTAGTCTGCTGCCTAGTAACATTAACTCAACTCAACTCTACTTGACTTTACCTACATCTCTTGAATAAAATATGTGTAGCAGTGTAGGTAATTAGGCGCCAAAGCAAAACAAGTTCGAAAACAAATGACTCAAGCGGGACTAAAATCGGCTTTATATATTATGTTCTGGGGGGCAAATAAATTTTCATAATTAGGTAAATAAATAAGGGGTCGTCGTTGAAAGTCGCTTGTTCGTCCGCTGGTTGTAAACTAGGTACATGACGTCACGTTAAACTAAACATAACTACAGCGCCCACAGAAATAAGCAGAGCTTCGTAGTTGATCGTAGCATGCCCTACGTAAGTCGTAGACTTTGCTACGAATGAAGCACAGACCACCGCGGCACCGTCTACGTTCTACAGATAGTGTAGCAAGGACTAACATAATGTGCTACGGGCGTAGCAAGATCTCCCAGCTACGGACGTAGCAACAACAACCATAAAGTGCTACAGGTGTAGCAAGGATTACTATTTATGTGCTACAGGCGTAGCAACGACTACCATTGAGTGCTACGGATGTAGCAAGGATTCGTTTTTATGTGCTACAAGCGTAGCAACGACTACCATCAAGTGCTACGGGCGTAGCAAGGATTAGTTTTTATATGTTACAAGCGTAGCAACGACTACCATCAAGTGCTACGGGCGTAACAAGGATTATTTGATTATTTTAATTTGACTTTCGTTATTGTGATTTGATTTTAATTATTTTAATTGGATTTTCGTTATTGTAGTTTGATTTTAATTATTTTAATTTGATTTTGATTATTTTAGTTTAATTATGATTGTTCAAATTTGATTTAGGTATCACTGTAATTCTTCTATTGTAAATCTTAAAAAATATTGCTGTGCCCTTACAGGGTCCATAAATGTACTTAGCTTTAAGCCTATTGTAACATCTTATTAACTTTATGGTACGCAAATAAATGAATATGAATATGAATATGAATATGAATATGAATATGAATATGAATATGAATATTTTTTACGTGCTACAGGCGTAGCAACGACAACCCATTAAGTGCTATGGGTGTAGCAAGGATTTACTATTTATGTGCTACAGACGTAGCAACGACTACCGTTATGTGCTACGGACGTAGCAAGGTTTACTATTAATGTGCTACAGACACAAGCGAAATTTTTAAAAAACACGCTCCAACAATTACGAAACAAGAAAATAGTCCCCGCTAAAATTTTTAGGTACAAACTATAATTTACACGAATTATGTTTTTAATTTATAATGATTAAAGCAGTGCAATAAAAAACTGAACTTTGTTTTCAATTAATTAATTAGATGATTCGGTATTTTAGTGTATAAATTTAAATAAATATTTTATTTAATCCTAACTGAGAAGCGTGAGTACGTATCATAAATTTATATTCTTCTTCACGCAATAAAAGCCAGATAATTAAAAGTACCTAAATCTAAAGAGCTAAATGTAGTACCTACTTATTTTCCATAATTTATTTGGAATATTATTATGAAAAACAATAACAAATTACAACTTAAGTCTACAGTGAAAAAGGATATGTACCTATACTAGGATAAGCGTCGCTTTATCGGTGTGCGCAACTCGTGGACGCGTCGAACATTTTCCCTCTATTCTCTATCGATTGTAGGAAAGTAAAAGCGAGTGAACTCTCTCGCTGCTTTCGCAGGCTACATGGCCTTGAAAACATCCTCAACTGACAGCGCTGCCAGGGGATACTGACACTGATACATGCTGACAACGGATACTTCAAAGTAGGTACTTGTCTACACAAACTGATCATTTAATGTGGGAAAAGATTATACAAAGTGATATCGATATACGTGATAAACTGATATCATTTAGCTTGAAGTATCATTAATCATAATGTATACAAAAATAGTATAGATTTTTCTTAAGGATAGCAAATCATCAAATGACTTTTCTCGCCCTGGGTGAGGCTAGATGGGAAGGACTGTCAGACTTCTGCTGACTAAAACCCATCCTGTTCTTGGAACGACGACGGGTAGTGAGTGAAGCAGGAGTTGGCTCCTGCTTCACTACACGTCGTGGCTGCCGTACATATAACATAATTGGCTATTTGACAATTTCCCGGAAATATTGTTAACGTACTTTCATTTAAAACCACTTACAATTATATTTTATCAGAAAATATTATTTTATGGAGAAAATAATAATTTTTTATTTGTTAATTTGTCATTTACGCTTAAACACTCGGTCACGTAACCTCTCCGAGCTATGACGTCATATTCTAATAAACAATCAAAGCGGTATCTCATAAATTATAGAATTGATGTACATATGTTATATTGTTATCGTTACTTATACGGAAGTATTTGCATTCCGAAACTCTGCAGAACAAAACGCACGACAACATGCAGAAGTTTGCGACCATAAATTAATCAACTTTAGGTAGATTTAATGTAGCCTGACTCCATTTCCTAAAACTTTTAAAAAGCACAAATTGAAATAGTATACGTATTATTTTCAGAGATAAATACAAGAAAATGATAGGATGCTATTTGTTTATTAAGTTGTGACGTCATACGATGCTAAATCATGGCTGCCAGTGCTCATTATCATCCACAAATAAAAAACTCAGAATATTTTTCAAAAACAAAACATTAAAATGTAAAAATAAATATAATGTATAAGTATTGTTTTCTTAAAAGCTACCGTAAACGATATATTTCATATTTTTGTTACAACAGTCAAATATCCAATTGGATACTTGCCAACTAGCCTTTATTATTTTTTTCGAACTGACAAAAACGACAGTTTTTTAGGATTTTTGTACAAGATTGTAGTTTAGTTAGTTTGTGACGTCACGTTTTTTAGCGCTAAGTAGCATTTTTTTATGGCATAAGCCGGTAAACGAGCAGACGGAACACCTGATGGTAAGCAATCGGCGTCGCCCATGGACACCTGGAACACCAGAGGGGTTACAAGTGCGTTACCGGCCTTTCGGGGATTAGGAGTTTGAGGATCGTTGGGGATTCAGGAATTGGGGAGATTGGGGAAGAGGAGGATAATTGGGCCTCCGGTAACCTCACTCACACGACGAAACACGTTACGCAAGCGTTGCTTCACGTCGGTTTTCTGTGAGGCTTTGGTATCACTCCGGTCGAGCCGGCCCATTCGTACCGAAGCATGGCTCTCCCAAACTTAAGATAAAAAGCATACTTATTTCTTAAAAAATTGTTGGAAAAATACTAAAATTATGTTGTTATTAAATTCAATTAATGAAAGTGTGATTATTTTTTATTGTATTGAACAGTTGAAATAATTTATTTTTGATTAAGGAAAGTACCCAATTATATGACAATTTAGCCACAAACGCGGAACCCGGAAATATATATATATACTAAGGGACCCAACAGACGTTGTCCTGCATATCCACTTGAATGTATAAACAAAAATTCATTCATATTAGTTCAGCAGTTTAGGATAAATAACCTAAACATTGACTGCAGCGCCATCTGCCGGGCTGATTTGTGAATCTAAACCATTCCTAGATCCCCTTGAACACACACAAAAAATTTCATCAAAATCGATCCAATCGTTTGAGAGAAGTTCAGTGACATACACACTCACAGAAGAATTATATGTATAAAGATAATTAAGTATAATGAGCTAAGAAATGAAAAAAATATTTTTGTCCTTGTCTGTGGTCCTAGTTTGCAATCTTAAATTGGGATTACAAGGTACCGTAACGACATCTGTTCTCAAAACTACGAACTATACTACTATTACCATTGTCAGTGTCAAATAATGACTGATTTGACATTGACAGATTGGTTTGCTTGACAGATTTTTTGTCGATGGTCTAATTATGTTGGCCTGAATTTATTTTGTATTTTGGTAATTATAAAAGAAACGTATGTGTTTTTTCAATGTTTAAGTCATTTAAACTCATTTATGATGCATATTTACTGGCCAGAGTGAGGTTGTCTTATTATATGTGACACATTCATTGTGATTGTTAAGAATCACAGGTTTCAACACTTGCTAGGTAAACTTTACCAGCATTCTTAGTTTATTTGATATCTAATAATTGTTCCAAAATGGGAGGTGGAGATTTGGTAAGCTTTACTTTATTTATAACATATTTGTCATGAGATGAGAGAAGCTTTTAGCATTTCATCTAAACATCCAAATTTTAGCATAAAAGTAGTTCTATTTAATCTAGTAGACTGAGTGTTGTTCATCGTCCCTACGAACTAACATACAATATTTGTTTTATAGAATTCAAAGAAGTCATGGCACCCAAATACAATGAAAAATCAAGAACGTGTTTGGAAGGCAGAACAGGCTGCGGCTGAGGAGAAAAAGCGGATGGTAGAGTTACAGCGCGAGCGGGCTGAGGAGCGAGACCGAGCCGAATTGAAGGGCCTCTTGAAGAACAACAGCGCTGCACCTAATAATGACGACCGCTTGTCTTGGATGTATGATGTAGGAACTCTTGTATTATTATTCTGTCGGTTGTGAGTAGTTTTAATCTAATGATTTTGGCTGTATCAATATGAAATGAAATTAAATAAAGTATTATGTTCTTGTTTCATAGCAAAAACTTCTATCTTGATAATTTAAAATTGTACAGTGTGATGGTTTCTCTTAAAATAAAGTTATTTCGTCTTAACTGTTGATTGAACATGCCAAACGGATAAAAATCCACCTAACCTAACGACATGTAACCATTAGGCTGAGGCCATATTGATAATGAACCTTGGGCTTGGTTTTTTTTGAGAGCTTTATCTATCTATTTATTTTTTATACTTAGGTGCTATATCAAATAGTAGTAGTGCTTTGCAGCCATCTTGTAACACTTATGTGATTTGTTTCAGAAACCTGATAAGAAAGTTGACGAGGAAGCATATTTACTTGGGAAATCAATTGATAAAAATGCTGAGCACTCAGATAAGTTGGAGCAAGATGTGATACCAGCTGTGTCTCGCAGAGTAGTTGGGTCTAGCATGTTGACAACTGCTGGAGATGCACAAGTAGATATGTCCCGGAAAATTCGTGAAGATCCCTTGCTCCTGATAAAAGAACGTGAGCGAGCTGCTCGTGCAGCCTTACTGAATAATCCTTTGCAACGTCGCCGTTTAACTGAGTTACTCAAAAAAGAACAGGTATGTAGTGACCTGAATCCATAATTTTATATTAAAGTCGTAAGTAAATAAAATATAGAATCAGTATGGACTATGCTTTTTAACAAAAGTCAAATATGTACTCATTGGTCCTTGTAATGATTCAATGTTGATATTCTTAACTATATTGTTTACTAAATTGGTTGACTATAGGCAGATAATCAAGAACATATTTATTTACAGGAATCAAAAAAAGAAGTCAAATCTAAGAAAACACATAAAAAGAAAAGCAAGAGCCTTGACGACCTTTTGGCTGCCAAACTTAATGCACTAGGTGGAAAAAAGGATATAGATTTGGCAACTCTTTTACATTCTTCTGATTCTACGGATTCCTCTGATTCTGATTCATCTCCAGAACGTAAGAAAAAGAATAAGAAAAAGAAAAAGAAGGCAAAACAAAAGAAGAAGAAGAAGAAAGAAAGTAAATATTCTTCAGAGAGTAGTGATAGCGAAGAAGATAAATCGTCAAAGAAAAAGTCTAAAATAAAGCAGGCGCATAGTAATAAGAAATCGTCTGAACGCCAAAGTCGTGAGAAATCACCTGAACTAAGTCGTGAAAAGGAATACAGAAAAAGGAAAAGTTCTGAGTACTCAGATAATGAAGTTGTCTCTAAAAAACGCAAAAAGGGGACTTCAGAAAGGTGTGAACAGGAGACGGATAGTAAAAAATCACGCTATTACGACAAAAAAAGTTATAGTCGACCTGAAAGACGTCCAGATTCTACTGAAAAAGAAAAGCGTAGTAAAGAAGTAAGTCATAGAGATAATAAGAAACGCGGTGGCATGAGCGAAGAAGAAAGAGCTGCGAAATTAGCAGAAATGGCGGCGGCCGGAGCTGAGCGTGAGATCCAGCGCGGACGGCGCGTGGCGGAGCAGCGCGCGGCCGAGGTGGCGGACGAGCAGGCGGCGCGCGGCCCGCGCTCGGCGCCGCGCGAGGCGCGCGCTCTGCCCGCCTCGCTCGAGAGCCGCATCCACTCCAACAGGCATTACATACAGCGCGACAAACGTCATATGAATGAACATTTCGCGCGACGATGAGCGATGATCAATGAATGACGATAATTTTATACAAGAAAAATAAATGTAATAATCACTTTGAGTTGATTTTATTTTAATGTTAGGTATTTGTAATGTAGTAATATTAATCCATTTTGTTTAAAGCAACCGACACCGTCGCCATTAATATTCCATGTCCTGTCAATCCAATGGAATCTTTTCTTTCACAATCTGTAACAAAAGAATAATCAAGTAAGTTTAACAAAGTGTAACTACAGATTTAGAAAGCTTTTGTGATAGAGAGGTCCTAACTCCTATAGTTAAGGAATCGTGTATGTAACATACTCTAGCACACTGGGAAGAAATTCTCAACTGCATGGCTCTTAACCACATACCTAAGTACTTACATTCAGTTGGCTAGAAACAAAATATGTAGATGATAAATATTACGATTTTGTGAACAGTAGTTAGTGATTTTGTAACATAAATTAATTCATTGGGTACAGAGTTAACTGTTCATTACAGAGTTAACAGGAGTCTGTATTTGTACACTTGATTTCCTTAATTTCTAATAAGTATTGGTAAATAAGTGTTAACATATGCAACTGACCGTATGTATCGACACAGAATAATAATTATGTAGAAAAATGAAGATGGTACTTTGACTAATGTTGTAAGTAATTAGACAGTCTTGTATGTCCATGGTTACACGAGGCACGCAGTGCCTGTACCTCGGCACACATCCCGGCATAGATGGGGTCAGTGTCCCATGGACCGCGCTCGGGCAGCGGCAGCGCGCGGCGGCGCAGCTCGGCCACGAGCTCGCTCACGTCCATGATGGGGATAGGGTCGAGGCCACGCGCCAGCCCCGCCAGGTACTCCACGTAGTGCGCCCTGTAAGTATAGCGTGTGTCAACACACCTCGACGAGGGCGCGCTTGTAGAGGCCGTCTAGCGAGCCGTAGGGGCGAGGCGGTAGCCGGAACGCGGCCCTCCGCACCAACGTCTCCAGGTCATCTATTCCCAGGATCGGTAGCGGGTCGATGTTGCAACGACGAACCGACCGACTCAGGTATTCCAGGTAATGGTTCCTGCAAGCACATGCCTCACTCACCGCTTCGCTCGCCACGCACGACCGACATTGTCACACGTTGGACTATCTAATTATAGGTGTTCTATATACCTACTCAAGAGCTCACGCTGCTTTGTTAAATTGTTGCTATTTTAGCCGACTTCAAAAAAAGGAGGAAGTTCTTAATTCGACCGTATATATGCTTTTTCAATTTTATTTTCATTCATATTAATTGTGCCTCTCTCTAATGACTACAGCATAGGGGTCGATCGTAATATTCACAGGTAGTGATATGAAATCATTGAAATATAAGTATCTATATAGATAGCTCTTTAGTAGACAGTTTATGACAGATATCGAATGATTTTACCTTTTTTCAGTTAGTACGGTAGGCTACATAGTTATTTATAATTTATGTTTTATTTAGGAACTAGAAACCTAAGTATATTTTTGTAATGCTTGATGTTAATTGCAGGCCATTCTATTTGTGATCTGGGGCGTGTGTAACATGGAATTCGTTGTTTATCAGTAAGATGTTACTAAGGTACCTAAATATTATACCTACATTTTATGCCTAAAAATTTGACACTCACTTGCAGAGCCCCGCATAGTTAGCTGGTGCTTCACTACCACATGTCCCGTCTACTAGTCCCGTCGGGGTTTCTCGTTGTAGTTGCACCGGGCATCGCCCTGTACTACCCTCCGATGCATTTGTCTCGTAAGTCACGTTGTTCATCTGAAACATTTACATGGCCATATTCATAGTGATTATGATCACTAATCGTGGAATTTTGTAAGTCGCAAGTAGACCTTCTTTTATTTAAGTAGGTATGTATGTATTAGACAATGACGTGTTAGTAGAAATTACCTGAAGTAAGGTTTGTAATTCATGTGGCTCTTTGTCTCTTAAATAAAACAAACAGTTTCTAGGATGATGTGCGTGAAGTCCCAATTTGGCACAGTAGTCACTGAGGCCGCACCGTGCACCCATGGTGAAAGGCTTCCCGCAGCCATAGCAGAATTCATATTTGCATTGTGTACAAGTGAAATGCATACAACCTCCTCTGAAAAAAGTGAATTTACCAGTAAGTATACAATACATCACATGCAAATGCGAGTTCTTAATTATATTAGGAAAACTAAGAACATGTGGACGCTTACCTAGATAAGGAGTACTTAAAGTGACACCGTGGACATTCGAGGCCATTGTCCCGTAAATGTTGCTGTATCGCCGTCATCGAACGCTCTGGATCGTTGTCCTCCAACCACGCAGTATATTGCTCACAACTTAGTCCTTCATGATTAGCATTCCACTGAATAAAAATAAGACATGTAATGTAAGTAATAGTTTTTTACAGTAACGACCAAAGCCATTTTCAAAAAACATGAAATTCTTACCGGTTTCCTACAACTAGCACAACTTATTGATCGACATTCCGGACAACGTATTTTCTTTTGCTTGGGGTGGACAAAAAACCCTGAAGAACATTCCATGCACCACCTGAAGTTCGGATCACGAGCTAAGGTGCGGTCTCGTAACTGTAAAGATCGTGAGTGTTTAAAAATTGTTAAGAATATAACTAAGTATTAAACATCGTGTTTTCTTTCCATCAACCAAACATAAAATTAAAATATATGAACATAGTTTATAAGAAAATATATATTTAGGTACCTTTCTTTGAAACAACTCGTGCACATCTACTTCAAGCAGGGTTTTTAAAAGTATATCCAAATGTGCAAAATATTCAAGCCAAGCATCTTCAGGCAAATTTTCCAGTTCAGGAAGTTTACAGTACGGACAGACGCAGTCTGCGATACTTCGTTCTGTTATTTGTACAGTGAAATAATGATGTGCGCATTCACGACAGCATCGGTGCGTACAACGCAACATTGAAACCATCTGAAAATTGAAGAAGTGTTTCAGATGGCGCAATAACATTATTGTAAATTATGTACTTCCAGTTTCAGTATATGAACTTACTTCATGTTCTGGAAGTCGAGATGCACAGAGTTCACAATCTTGGTATAAATAAGCAAGAGCAGATGATAAGTCAATGCATTCAAGTGCAGCTAAAAGGGCCGCTGGCGGGTCAGCACCTCGGGATACGAGTTCTACAGCGAGCTGCGCTTGCTCCCAAGTTTCTGTTGCGCCTTCTGCTAATAGCATTCGTGCTTGTCTCTGAAAGTTACAAATCATATTATAAATAGTCCGGTCAATGGACACATTCGAAGTTGTGGTCTAAAGATTACTTACCTCAGGTGAGCCTTCTGGAAGTCTTATTTTAGCTAAATCAATAATTTGACCTGAAACTCGCCGCATTGTAATAGGTGGAGGTGGTGATGGCGGTGATTGTTTGGGTTCTTCAACTGGTCTTACAAATTGCATTTGTGAGTCGTCCGAATCACTATCGGTCCATTCGTCTTCTGTTCGACAAGTTTCTCGGAAAAATGGTTTCTTTTCTTTTGGAGTTGTTACAATCTTAGAAGGCGAGGGCTGTTTCTCTTGTTTCATTTGTATGGGTGGAGGTGGCGCTGGTTTTTTCTTAGTCATTGTTGAAGTGGATGGCTTTACTTCTATTGTCTCAGATGATGTAGGGTTTATAGGTTTGGCTGTTTTGTTATTAAACAGTCTAGTTTGTAATTGTTTAACATGGCCACTTTGAATATTACCAAAATGAGATTTAGGCGGAGCCGGTGCAGGATATTGCTTAATTGATGTTCGACGCACTGGGACTTTCGAAACGATTAATTTAGGAGAATTTTTATCGTTCTTTAACTTGTTATTAGGTATAATTCTTACTAGCTTAGGTATGTTAGACTTACTAGCTATGGTGTTTTTATTAATACTGTTATCATTTGATGTACTAGCTGGAATCTGTTCAGATTCAACATTCTGACCATTACCAGCTTCTTCTAAACTTATGGGAGTATCTTTAATGGAGTCTTCATTATTAATATTATTTTCACTTATATTTAATGCTTCTGGTTCTGTATGTACATCGTCAGCATCTGGTAGTAATGGCTGAGGTTCTTCTGAATTCAACATTTCTCCTGGATGGTCATCAGAACTTTCGTTTGTGGTTTCTAAAAATTGTGCTTGATTTGACACAGGTTGTATTTCTATTCCCGTAGGTGAGGAATCTTGTTCAACTAATGGTTCAACCGAATTGGATGTAACTTCTTCATTAGTCTGTTGTGGTGAAGAAACATTACCTGTATTAGAATTCATATTGTCTGTTTCTTGAACAGTTCCTAATTTAGCATTTAAGATAGGAAGGACATTTTCAGAGATGACTAATTTAGTTGGAGCTATAGTTTGCATTACAGAGAAAAAAACCGCCTCTCTTGCTAATAGGTCAATGTTTCTGGGTATTGCAACCTGTTCCACATTTAGATTAAATTGGCTTTTACTGCTAACGTTTTTATCGCTATTGTTTTGTGTACTCAGTTCTTCGTAAATTTCCTCAAAGCTGTTAACAGCAACAAAAACATTATTATTCACATCTTCCTTTCTTAAAGGTTTTGGAGCGTCGGTTTTTGGTGTTTCATCTACTTCTACAGTAAAAGTATGTTCTTCTTGTAAAGTACGAGCTATGGAATCTAGCATTTCTATATTGGCATGTTTAAAGTCTTCTAACTGATTTTCTACATGATCTAAAGCTTCTTCAAAATTGTCATTTTCTTCAGAACTTGTCATATGATACTGCATGGCATGTTGCTTTTCAGAAGGACCTTCATCTTCAGAACTTGTCAGTTCTTTTTCATCGGAAGTCATATTTTCCGTTCTTTCTTCAGTGTCACTATAGCTAGATTCTTGTTCATCGTTTGTTTCATCAGAACTGGATTCCCCTTCACTATGTGACATAGTTCTACCGTCAATAGAATTTATATCTGAATTAATTTCTTCTTTCATCTGTTGAATTAGCCTTTGTGTATTATCAACAATGTCATTAAGATTAGATTTTTCATCGATTTGTCTTTGATTATTTCGATCTGATAAATTTTCTTCAGATTTATGATTTTTATGAAAGTGGCTAGTGTTACTTTCAACGAAACTTTCATTTTTATTTAGATTTTGAGCATTTAAATTGATATGGTTAGCGGATGAGTTTATTAATGGAATAAGTTCATTGGTACTGGTGTGTGCTTTATCTACGATATTTTTTTCATTTTGGTCGCGTTTTGTTGGCAATTGGTTGTTTTGTTTAACTTTTGATAATTGTTTGTGATCTATTTTTGTGATTTGTTTTGAATTTGTTATGGATTGTGTATTTTGATTAGTAATTTCATTTACTGTCTCTATTCTACCGTTTGCTGTTTCATTCATAATTTCTCCGTTTATTGAATCATTCTGAGAAACTACTTTGTTGCTATTAAACATTTCAGTACTATTTGTGGTTGTGTTTATATTTGGTAATGGGCTTGATCTCGTCAAGGCATTATAGGCATCAATGAAATCATTTTCAGATTGGTCTAGATCTATTGATTGTGACTTTGGACTAGCACTGGCATTAACTTGAGGTTCAAATAGTGGTTTGCCTGCTAGCAGCCCTTGTAGAAGCAGTTTTTCGTTAATTGCAGGAACTCCGGCTTCTTGAAGCAACATTTTTAATTTTTTTGCCACATCATCCTTATTTTCGACATTGGCCTGGTCCACGGTATTATTTTCTAAATAGTTGGCTTCTCTTTCGTAATCATTTAAATTAACGTTTAGTGGTAAGTACATCCAGTCGTCATCTTGAAATCTAGCCGGTGTCGGTGCTTCAAACTCATCTGAACTATCTTCTGCTGAAATGTAAAGTGAAGGTTATGACGTGGTACGATGATGGTGTGATCTTGTAATGCAATGATAATTTTATTGGTTTGTGGTTCGTTTGAGATTACCGCGCATGCGGTGAGAGTGGCGGGATGAAGAGCGAGGAGGAGCTGCGTCGTCGTCTACGCCAACAGGGGACCCCCAAACATGCCCGCGTAACCTGCCTTCTTCTCCGACGCCCATAATCTCCGTCTGAATGAACACCGTTTAAGTATTAAAAATAGTATTATTTACTTAACATTTTACCAAAATGTTTAAAATGTTTAAGGTGTGTTTTATTACCTGTCGTTTGTGTCTTTCCACACATTCTGTCACAGCTGGCCACATTGCTCCTCTATGTCTAGCGAGAGCAGCTCTGGCTTCTAACTCTGAGATAGCTGCATTTGGTGCTAGACGTGCCGCGGCAGCACGCACGCCCGCACAAAGGCTCGGCCAACGTTCTCGCAACCATGATAATGGTGATGCTGGACTTTGTGTTAGCGCTGCTTGCACTTCTGCAGCACTAAAACCTAGCCTTTCAGCTTCAGCCATCATTTGAGCCAACTCTATTCCTCTTTCTGCTTCTCGTTTGGCACCGGTTCCTGCCAGTGCTTCAAGGGAAATTGCTCTGCTCGATTGACGTTCTGGAGATGCTGCCTGAAATATATGTATTTATCGAAAGAGTTAATTGCTCTTTCTACATATTTGAAATTTTCTAAAAACGTTATAATATTTATTTACCTCGGAACCATAATACGTCGATCGTCGGTTAGGGCGACTACGACGGAGGTCTAAATGTGATGCGCGACGAGATAGTCGATTATAACCATCTCCCCATTCTCCTCCAGGGCTACTGTCACGTTCGCGCCAATCCCACCTGTTGCCTGGACCGGCAGTGCGAATACTTCGGTCGCTTTCCTACATAGAACATAAAGAATAAGGTTGTGTTTGACATAATTTAAAAAAAAAGTAGAAGCTAGGTAGTTTATCTCGTTTACTTACACGGGTATCACTAGACATGGAATGTCTACTTTGAGATCGCTCTCTTCTGGCTTCATCTCGAAACCGTCTACGTGGGCGCGACCGGGATACAGATGATGCGCGTTCCCACGCAGTTGTATTCGGCACTTCATATGTCTAAAGAAATAAACAAGGTCTAAAATCTGAAATTGATACCAAATTTTGACAGGGACTAGGTACAGGCTCGTTTTATGGACACTTGAATGTGATAGTAGTCAAAGAGGCAGAATTGCCAGAGTGTTTTAAAAAGAACAGTTTCTAAATTTGATTTTACCTGCGTAGAGATGCTTTGTGGAGGTGGTGATGTACCAGTGTTCGATACATTGCTCTTATTGGTGGCTGGCGATGGATATTGTCGTTCAATGGCGTCTCGCGGTGGAGACGTGCCAGTGGACTTTTTTTGATTATTTGTTGAAAGTTGTTTGAGAGGTGCGTTAACATAAGCATTGTCTCGGGGCGGTGAAGGTCCTACAGATATACTGTGCCTCTTGGGGACTTCTGGTCGTGGTGATTGTCTGCTGTCGCGATATGGGGAAACTCTCATCGTTTTATTTATGTCTCGTGGAGGTGATATCTCTGTGCTCATGTCCATATTATTTGTACTATTCTTAACTTCGCGGGGTGGCGATGGCCCAACTCCCATATCATGTCTTCCTTGTAACTTGTCATCGTGGTTATTAGCACTTGATTCCCTAGTCGGTGTAACAAGTCGGTTTACTTGTTTTTTTGCAGTGTTCCCTTCTCGAGGCGGCGATGGCCCACAGCCAGTCGAAGTACGTTCTTTTTTCGGTTTAGTTTTAGGTTTCTCTATTTTTGAAAATACATATAATCAAGATTAATAGAAGGATAAATAAATTACATAACATTTAATATAATGAGGTATATGCATATGCATGATAAATTACATCATACTGACCTCGATCATATCGGGGCTCTTCGGTAGTGCGTGCAGGTGAGGGTGTTTGTTTCTGAGTGATTCTCAGTCTTTCCACATTTTCGCTAAGCTCCTTCGTAATAGTTTTAGGTACTGAAACGGGAGTGCGGCAGCAGATGGCACAAACTCGTACACCGGGTTCATTGACGAAAGTGCAATGTTCACACTGCCAGGAAGAGCTCGGCGGTGGAGGGGCAGGTCCAAGAGAATCTTCTTCTTTTTCTTGTGTTTTACTTGGCGGGCCATGATCACTCTCACTTTCACTTTCTGAATCGGCATCACTTGATGGCAGTGGCGGCGGCGATGGTGTACGATGTTTCATTCGTCGAGACGTGCGAGACCGCACGCTCATAGCCGGAGATGCTGCACGTGAACCAGCACGAGATGCAGCACGAGATACTGTGCGGCTCTCAGCTGAAATATTAATATTTGAAAGTTTAACACTTCACTTGAATGGTATGCTGGCGTTGTTCTCATTTTCGTGATATTAATACAATAGACTTACGTCCAAGTATACCTACCTCTGCGATAAGGTTGGGGTGTTTGTGGAGGTAGATGTGGATGCGGTTGTACACCATGAGTGGGATGGCCAGGTGTGCAACATGTCGGCGCCCACCCAGGGCTGGTGTTTGCCCAGGGATGGTCGAGGCTGGCACAGCTACCATACCGCCATGGAACTGGGGCGCAATGAGCGCAGCCGGCGCAACTAGTAGCCGGGCCACCACCCAGTTCGAGTACAGATGCACCACGACGTAGCGGCCGACCCCAATTTTGCATTGTGGGAGCCATGTTGTCGGAATTATCCCACTGTTCAGTTGGCGCATGCTAAAATTAATTATTGTGACTGTAGTTTATGATTCCTACTTAAATATTAATTCGTTTATTTAAAAAAAATATATTAAATAAAAACAATTACCATGTTCGGATGCCCGCTAAATCCTTGTAATGATCCACGAGGGCGATTCCAAGCTGTATTCATATGAGCCAGTGTGTTGGACTGCCCTGGCATTGCAGCATGATGACTCCCGGCAATATGCATATTTGTCGGAAGAAAAGGCATGCTACCGAGGTGGTTAGGTGTGGGTGTTGTAGTCATTTTAGTTTGTAGATGCAAAGGCATCTGTTGATGATGTTGGGGTGCTTGAATGAGGTTGGCAGGTGGCACATGCGATCCCTGGCTGTGCGCTCCCATCATCATAGCTGCATGGTGTGGAGAACTGAGGGTAGCTCTTCTTTGGTCTAACACGGATGGAGGTTTTGGACTAGCACTCATTCTATCGCCGCTTATCTGTACATTCAGAAATATATTTTATTAATATTATAATAAGGTAAGCAAGAGCAATGTTGACTAATAATGTCAATTGTATGTACCTTATGTTTACGCGGCGGTGGCACTGGAGGCCCTGCCTTCGGGGGTAGCGGTGGCCTTTCCTCGCGTAACTGTGTTGCCGATAAAGCCTGCGACATAAAATTTAAATATTTATGAAATTGTTTAGAAACGACTGTGGTGTCAATTCGTCCTATATTAAAAGTTACTGCTAACCTGTCGCTGATGATGTCTCCTTTTGGGGTGTCGGTGGTACATGTCATCACAGGAGGCACACAGTGCGCGGCGTCCACATTCAGTGCAGCGCACGCGCGCTCCACCTCCTCCACAAAGACCGCACGATGCGCCTGCGTCGACCGGGTGACCTACAAATGCAAACGAAATATCTTCGATGTTCGCGTATGCTTATCTAATTTGTGGATTCATGTGGTTTTTTTAATAGATAGAGTGATACAAGAGGGAGGTTTATAGGTTATACAACATTTTTAATAGAGATAAACTAATAACTGCTTGAAGCCGACGTCGGTCGCTGGTTCGTCTAATCATAAATCACATTGTTTATTTATTATCGAAAGAAATAAAATTAAAGTGCTTCCCTGGACGAAATGAAATCTGTGGGGATTTGCATAAAGTGCTAAATGCATTACATCATGGATATATCAGTTTGATATTTGTAAATAATATTTCTTAGACAAGTTGATTTATGTAAATTATGTAATGTAACTAATGTCGTCGAAGCCATATTTCTATAGATCTGCGTGCGCACATTATTGTGTTTTTTTTATCTAAAATGTTTTGTTTATTAGGTATATTAATTAACATCAGATTATGTTGAAATCTTAGTGACGTATACATATTTTGGCACAACTTGAATATGAATTGAACTGCTATTGTAGAGGATTTTTGAGATATTTAGGTATCGCTATACCTTGTACAATGACCTCTTCTTATACTAGTTAATTAAGTTGGATTTATACGAACCTGTGGGCGGTCGTGGCGGTGGCGGTGGCGGCGGCTGTATTTTCGCATTGACGTATTGGTCGCTTGGAAATTCCACAACTTCGTAATCAGGTTCAGGCCTGGTCTGTGGTACCCGATGCATCGATGTTGGTGTACTCGGGGGCTTCGCCCCACGTGTTAATGCGGGTGGACGCATTATTTCCGCGAGGTGCGCCGGCGGTGCCGACGTCACGTTGCGCGGGTCCCGAGTGCGACCCTTCAGCAATTCTGTATGTGCATAATACGGGGGCTGGGTACATAAAGTATAATAAGAGAGTACGACTGAATGTTATTGTATATACAATAACAGTCTATCTGGGATCTTCGTTGAGACTGTAACAGACACTAATATAAGATTTGTTTGTTCAGGCTACAAGCTTTATAAATGTTCTCAGCAGTAGTGCAACATACCTATCCCCTTATATAAACTTTCTTGGCTAGTCACACCGTATGTTTATTTCAGACTGTCTAAAATTTAGACTCTAAATGAAGTCTTGAATTTCGTTTTAATTAACTGCAGGTTTGGTTCTCTGTTCAAGATGCTATTATATAGATATTATTAACATTTGCAAACGGCAGCTGTGACCGGGATAGAGCGGGCGTTGCCGCGTCGTTGACGCCTTGCCGACCTATATTCCGCCACTCATATCCCAAAATATCGAAAGTGTGTTCACTCTATGTAAATAACAATTAGTAAGTGTATATTCGCGATCGCTATCTGCTTATGCTCTACCTCTCCAACACCTATTCGTTGTTATAACATCCGCGTTTAAATAACTTTAAGATCTTACCTCACCGGGTAACACTTTAATATAATATTGAAACTGATTTCGATGTCATATCACTTAAACGAATTGTTCACTGTATTTTTGCCCCAGAGGCCATTTTACATAAGTATGCAACTGCGCACAGTTCGTAATCACTGCACTCGCGGCGCCAGGCCCCGACGGCGGCAGCTCGCTGCACGGCTCCGTGCTACACTTTCCTCGCAGCTCGAGTGGCCGGCGGCTGCTAATCGTGCTCCCTATGCGGACGAAATTGACAGCGGGAAGACGCGTGTGCCGCCGCCTCTATTTCTGTCCGCGGCCGCGTTGCCCCGATTCTACTAAAATTACGACGCGCTGCTATTTCCGCACTGATCCCAATGCCCCCTCTAGCCGGAGTCAAATACCTTGCGAAATTGTTTCTCAATATTTATCACGCCGATAAAACACAGTTTTGTGGATGTCATCAAATAGCTCATTGAAATCATTTTTTGATATAGTTGTAGGGAGACCCTTTGGTTGTAAGATTCTTGCTGGGTTCCTGTACATTTTATCACGGGCTCTGACTCTGGACTGTTTTAGTTGGAAACTCATTGCTTTTAATGTTCGAACTTATTTTAAAACAAATTAATCTGTTTCTATGTAAACAATGTTGTGTCATTTTGATGGGATTTCATTGTGAAGTTTGTATATTGCAATATGGAAATATTGCATAAGTTCAAAGAAAATGGGTATTTTACTTCGGAGCTATACCACTTACTTGCTAAAAAGAAGGTGGTCGATGGTTCGACGGAGGTAATATTAGTCTGTTATGATTATGATCTACGAAACTACTTACAACACTGTTAACATTCAAATCTTCAGAGTAATTACTAGAGTAGTATGTTCTACTTACTTGTCAACACAAGCATCAATCTTATATAGAACACTAGCTTCTGCCAGCGACTTTGCCCGCGTTCCCGTGGGATAAAAAGTAGCAAACGTGTTATTCCAGACTGTATTTAGATTCCATAATCTGCCCCTGTTCCAAATTTCATCCCGATCCCTCCAGCCCGTTTGACATGAAAGAGTAACAAACAAACACACACACGTACATCCTCACAAATATCGCGTTTACAATATTGGTAGGATTTACGAGTTTAATTGTTACTTTCTTGGACAGATTATACCTTCAGAATATGAGAAGGAAATGAAAATGTCCACTCAACAGCGACTGCAGACTTTACATAATATAGACATAGAGAACCTGATCACCCCACCCGGCAGGAAACGCAACAAGGTCTTATCTTTCACGCCCAAACTGCTCGTGTTCCAAAACTTCAAGCCGAACGATAAAATTGTCGCAAAATTTTCTGTTAAAAATATAAGCAAGGTTAAAAATTTTGTTATTCTTGTGTTATTTTATATTGGGTTACGTTTGTCTGATGAAGTATTGTATTCGACAGGGACCGACTTACGTCAACTTGGTTTACAAAGAGTCCTCGTATTTCTTTATCAAGCCTTGTGGTGGACAGTTGCTGTCGAGGTTGGCGCCAGGAATCAGTGTGACTTTTGCGATAACCTTCCTCCCCGTGCAACACGAGGACTACACACATCGAGTAACTATTAATACTGATGTGGATCAATATGTCTTACCGCTCATCGGTAAAACTAATACCATTTTTAAGCATTGTTTACTTTTATTACTTAAAATACAATAATTTAATTACTTATTCCTTTCAAGCATTGGGCCCCAGACCGATTTTTGATTTCCCTGATAAAATTGATATTCCGAAGACTCCCTTGAAGGTGGAGAACCATGTGTTGATAAGTGTCCATAATATTGGCATGGTGCCTGCTGGCTTTACTCTCAATTGCAAATGGTATGTAGTAAAATATTAAATACAATTATAATATTACACTGTGAAATTATTATAAATGATAATATACTTTGATAACTAGTACGTTTAATAATTATTTTCAGCCCATTCTCTGTGCATCCAAAGTCCGCTTATTTAAATAAGAATCAAAAGATTGATATCGCTGTATCATTTAAAACAATGCACTTAGGCGAAGCCCACGGAATATTAAATGCACTTTTTGAAACTGGTAATGTGATCGATTTCTAATACCTAGATTGATATTTTACCTAGACTGAGAGTACTGATACCACCTTCTTAGATTAAACAGTGTAGTAAAATAGTGCTATTTATTTAGATACAAATTACGAAAGCTGCCGCCGAAGGTTAAATCCTTCCTTCCTTCCATAAACCCAAATTAATTTAGAAAAAAAGGGTTCATTCGCAGTAAAAACTTATAACATGACATTTTAATAACTAGCTAAACCTATTGTTTCCGTCTATGCTGTATCAAAAGTATCGCTTTCTGGGCGCTTTGCGCTGGCTTTCATGGCGTTTTGGTTATTCGGTGCTTTTGCCTCGTACCTCGAATTTGCGCATTTAACTTATTTATTAGAAACTTGCTTTTTCCCGCGGTTTTACCCGCGTATTCCTGTTTTATCCCATTAGAGCATTTAATCGGGATAAAAAGTATATTATCACCTAAGCAGCCCATACCAAATTTCATCAAAATCCGTTCAGTAGTTTCAGCATGATTCACGGACAAACATCCAAACACCCAAAAAAAGTAACTCACATTTATAATATTAGTGATTATTGAAGGTATGCTTCGTCAGCGGTGTACCTAAACTGCACTGGCGTAATATACGTTATTTCCTTCAGGAGAAAACTTCCGTATATTGTTGTCGGGGACAACTCATACAGTGAGCGTTGAATTGGAGAAGCAAGTAGTGCGATTCTTTGACACTTACAACACTATGATGCGGCAGCAGACATACAAGGTCATCAACAAATCCGATCATGTGCTCACATACATCTGCATGAAGAACGATTGTGTATATTATGGTACGTACTATTTACAAATTTAAACTAAACGTTTACTAACTTCCCCTTTGACCCTGCATAATTCATCAATCTTCTCTTTGAGTTTGATCAAATAGTTAGATTAGTTTAGATCAAATATGAATTTTAAGATAAGTTATTATTTATTCCCAGATTTCGAAGAAAAAGTAAAGTTAGCAACAATATTTTACAATATGAAAGAAAGTGAATCTGCGAAGTACAGGAAGTTGGTGCAATACGACGTGCTGAGTAGTAACGAGCATGAAAGAGTATACACTCGGATATTTTTTGATGAGATCCAGGCGCTAGTGGCTGATGAATCACTGTATTTCCAAAATATGCACTTTTCCATACACCCGATAGTGAGTAGATAGTTTATTACGATAGCATTTTGTCAGATGTATTGTAGGCGTATCGTTCAGACGATCTAACACTGTATGGTAGACATATATTTCTTATGAAAAGGGGCTAAATAACATTATTACTGGTGTTTATTATAGAAAATCTATTTATTCGCAGAAAGGAAAGTTGTGGCCCAATAAAACAACAGAATTAACTATAACATTTTGTCCGAAAGAAATCGGAGAGTTTCAAACAACTGCCTACTTAGATATAGATGGTTTCGTGGACCGCGTGCCGCTGAATTTGATCGGTCTATCGATGCCTCCCTCCATACATCTCAATGTGGAAACACTGGATATGGACCGCGTCTACATTAACAAGTCTTACAACTATGAAATTGTTGCCATTAATAAAGGTACAAATTTCAAATTTAAAACTTTATAAATAAAATTGAATCACTATCTTTGCTAGCACAAAATTAAAGAAACCGATCTATCTCCGATTTGCAGTGATGCACTAATTAAACGTTTTATTTCAAATTTAAATAGAACTCCGAGGAATGTTCTTAAAAAGATTATTAAATCCTAAGGATTGTCTACCGTGTACCGTAATTTATAAAATGATCTTAGCGTTGTTTTCTTTTAGGACACATAAATGGAGTCATACTGTATAAAGAAATACCGTCACTGTTTGGAAGCACTATATCATGTACTCCTGAATTGCACTGCTTGCGACCTGGGGACAAAGAAATCTTCGTAATCTCATTTTGTAACTCCAGTCAGGGACCATTCTTTGAAGAAATCAACTTCGCCATCCGCGACACAAATGTAGTTCTGAAACTGTATCTGAAGTAAGCACACAACAACTATTCGTTGTAGTGTTGCATCAACATGCATAATTATATAAAATTTTCTTTTAATATTTTCAGAGGCGAAGTAATATATCCATCACTTACTTTTAGTATCCCATGCCTTGATTTTGGTGAAGTCAGCGTAGGTAAGATTGAATTGATAGACAAATGTCACGGTTTCATATGTACGTAAATCGTAGTGAGGTCTACAATTTACGTAGAGGTACTACGGACGCGACGTACCAGGGACTACCATTTAGTGGTACGGGTGTAGTAAGGAAAGGACTACCATTTAGGGTTACGAACGTAGCAAGGACTAACATTTAGTGCTACGGGTGTAGCAAGGACTAACACTTAGTGCTACGGGCGTAGCAACTACTACCATTTAGTGCTACGGGCGTACAACTACCATTACTGTTACGAGCGTAGCAATTAAGGACTAACATTTAGTGGTACGGGCGTGGCAAGGATTACCATTTAGTGCTAGTACGGGTGTAGTAAGAATTATTATTAGGTGCTTCGAGCTTACTAAGGATGTACTGTTTACGCTCTACGGGCGTACCAAGGACTACTATGAAGCGCTGCAAGTTGCATAATTTACGTAGATTGTAGCAACATGATATAGCCAAACACATAAAAATAGAGCCTGCAATTTAGCCTATGTGACATCAAAACTTGTGTAAAAAATATGAAGAATGAAAATAATAGAGACACGATATAAAAACTTAACTACATTAGCGAAAATAAAATAAGCATGTAAAATATTTTCTCTCACAAACAGGTGTGCCTAAGACTATGCAGTTAGATGTTATCAATGAGTCGGTGGTGGATATTAATGGGACTTTGAAGATTTCGTCAGATGGTCCGGAGATCAGTAGCATAACACTAATTGATTACGCAGTAACGGATTGTCCTAAGCCAGTGCTCCCTCAGTGGCCCAGGGAGTTCCATATTGCACCAAGTAAAGTTGACATAGAATCCGAGTCAAGGATATCAATACGAGTAAGAATATTACGCTCTCTCTTTTTAGAAGGGATAAGCAAAAGTGTATACATAATATTTGAGGCACAATAGCGGTCGAAAAGTAATTTCGACCACTATTATAACACTGTAAATTTATGGTCTAGTCACATAATCGAAACCGAGACTATATGGTCATTCGAACAATCGACTGAATAAATAATAGTCAAACAATGACGATTTATCATCCAATCATATTAACACAGGTTACACTGACGGCTAACTTGATAAGAGCTAACCAGACATCACTAGAGTTGGAACTAGAGAAGTCGGACAGTCCTCCAATAGTGCTCCCAGTGATGTTTAATGCCTTGGTGCCTGAGATAACGCCTGCGCCTGAGATCAATCTGCGTGCCTGTTTCCTCAACTACTCCTACCATAATGAAATCGTTATTAATTCTAATAATTTCCGAGGCTATTTCACATTGGAAAAATCAGAGGTATCATCTCACATACCTACGTAAATCACGTGTACTGTATTTAAGAGCGATGGGCAAAAGGTTGTATTCATATATTTATCGTGTTTACCTTTTATTGTGTTAGAACTATTGTCAAATAGGAAAGAATTTTCGATACTTTGTTGTAACTAGAAACCTGTACCTAATTACCATTGCACTTGAGACTTTTGTGCCCATTTGCATACATTGATCAAGTAAATATCATATTACAAACTTCATATTTGTATTTGGTTTGTATGTGAATCCAGCTAAACTTATTATTATTATACATATATTTACCCCTGAACACTGAAAGGCTACTCAATTACTCAATTCATGGTCACAACAAATTGTTTGTTGAAATTACAGAGATGGCACAATATCTAAGTACAACTTCAAATTGAGTAGCCTTTGAGTATTCGGGTTTTAGGTTCTTTTTCATTATGAGTGTGAGAGGCTCTGAACTTATGAACGTATTACTAATGCGTAAGTAATTTTAGGATACAACATTGGAACTATATTTTCAAACGCAAGAAGGATTTATTGAACCGAACAGTACTTTGACCTTACCCATCTGTATTAGAACAAGTGCACTTGGTGTACAAGAAAACGGAGTTATGTAAGTACTTAGACAGAATGTTTCAATTCATGGAAAGCAATAAACTCATACTGATCTTGATTTTGTATGATACCTTTAAGTTGCCTAAGTAATTGATTAAGGTATTGAGTGTCTTGCGCGACACTGTCGATTATAAATTATTTTATTCTATGTGTAGGATAGGAAGCAGCTTCTTCCTTCACTACCTTTGGACATAGTGAAAATGTATAACGAAAGAAAAATATACAACGTTAATGGATTTTATATGAATGGTTAGCAACCGCTGTCAGCCAGGGACACTAGCAACTGGGTTGTCAGATTTATAGATGGATGGAGAGATTATTAGATTTATAGATAATACCTATCTTCTCATTTGACAGAAAATGTTTTCTTGATCAACAGGATGAACTTATTTGGACAGACTAAACCATTTGAGATCTGCCACATCACTGGCTGTGGAGTGCGACCTATTGTGACCTGCTCTCCTTTGGCATTGCATTGGGGACAAATCAAATTATTAACAACATCACAAAAATGTTTAACCCTGTGTAATGATTCCCCAGTCTTCGTCAATTTCACTGCGACACTGGTAGGCGCTTTACGTAATTACCTCTATATAGTTTATTAATAACATAGGTATACATATAAAGTAACTAGCTTTTAAATATACCTCTAAAGTTTGGTATTTTGTCATTGGTTGTATTATTAAACACCTGCCTCGTTGGCCGAGGGGTCGCCAGTGCGACAGTGCCGGGCAGCGTCTCGGGTTCGATTCCCGGGTCGGGCAAAGATTTAATGGGGATTAAAAAAAATCTGAGTAGTAGCGGAGTCTGGAAATGTGCCCAGTATATGGCAATAGGCTTACCCGCCATTACATGGGACTTATAACATTAATAGTGAAAAGTGGGTGTCACTTCTGTGTGCACCTCTACCCATTCGGGGATAAATGGTGTGATGTTATGTTATGTTGTATTATTAAATTATATATGGGATTTTATACGAAGGTGAATGTACTGTTTTAATGTCAATTGTCATCTCTGACGATGAACTTCACACAGTAAATAAGGACACATTAAGAACACCTAAATAAAAACATTTTTTTCTGACATTACAGTTGAATAAAGATGGAAAATGGCAAATATCGCCGACGGAAGGTTCGGTCGAGCCCGAGTCAGAAGTAGATTTATTGTTAACATTATACTTGATTGATGCTGATTCCTACACTAACAAAGCGGTGATACATTTAGACAAAGTAAAGGACATCGTAAGTGACTTTAAATAGATCGTGTTATTTAAGTCTACAAACAAAAGAATCAACAAGAAGGAGGTGGTCGTAATAAAATTAGATGATGAGTTAATAGCTTACAACACGCGTGGTATGAATGCACACTCGTACGCTGTATTATAAACATAGGTACAGATTCGTTGAGAGCATAGATTACCGAGTTCGCCAAACTAGCTATGAACAGCGCTATGGGATTATCGAATTTAGAACTAAATAATTCGCGTTTCTTATATCTCTACATTTCACTTTTTTTCTTATTGTAACGCAAAGTTCTCCTATGTCGTGACTGCAATTACAAACACATATATCACATCCAGACCCGGAACAGTTAGCGCTCGTATTACGAATTGGAATCTTTTACTTTTTTAATATCATGTATAAGTATGCGTTTCTAAACACTTCTCTCAATTTGGTAATCGATCCCAAACCTTAAACTCTGTTGAGTTTAATTAATTAAATTACATTTAATTTGACAATCTAGCTGGTACCATTATCTGCTACCGGAGTAGGGACGAGCATCGTGGTGGGTAAGCATCGCGATAGAATTGAGCTTGGAAGACATTTCACGAAAATACCACTGGATTGTAAAATTATAATGGAAAATTGTGGAACCCGGTTACACGCACTGGAGTGGAGCGAACATTATAAACCGCCCAAGAATAAACAAGTTGCAGCGTAAGTATCCATAATGAAATAGAAATACACATGTTTGAAATGAAAAACAAAAAACATCTTTATTTTCTCAAATTCCAGAGGCTTTTTCAACTTGGACCCACGATCATTCAAAATGTCCGCTGGAGAAAAATTTGAGTTGACAGTAACAGGAATATCCCATAAAGTAACGAAAGTTAAAGAATTGTGGTATTTGGTCGGTAGCGTGGAGAGCATAAATAAAAAAGAATTGTTAATGGAGTGTGAGGTTCTGGCTGAATTCGTTGATCCGAAAATAGAGATTTCCTCTCCAGTTGTCGAATTCCAATATGACTTCGGGCCGTACAGTGAATTCTATAAGCTAACTGGTAAGGAAGAATACCTTCAACAAAATTAAGACTATTTTAAATTATTACCCTAGTTCCACAGTTTTAGTGTTGTTAATATTTCACTTAATACAAAAATATGGAGACGTAGGTGGATATGCCATAATTATTGAAATTATTTCATTTTTACATATTTAACATTGTTTTTAAATATGTTTAATGAACGTTGCAATTAATTTTTCAGATATAATCACTATAAAGAATGTATCCAAACTTCCACTAGACATTGACATCTCTGTGAAACCACCATTTGCTATCGTTCAAAAGCAAAGTACATACAAAATACCGTATGAAGAAGCGAGCCTTTGTTGTTGTATACGGTACAGGAAGTCTGATTTGAATCTACAAACTATATTGGACAAAATGGGTCCACGTGAATCAAAGACCTTTATAGACTTTCTTACAGCAAAGCCCGTGGAACCACTGCGGAAAGGTCCACTCCATTTTTTCCAGGACATTCATAAAATTAAAATGGCATTCAATCTAACTAGCACAGTAGAAGAACGTTTAGAAGATCAAGAAATTATGAAATTACAAATATTATTCGACACTACTAAACATGTCAGTCTTAAGTCAAGGGTATATTGCGACTTGATGAAAATTAGATTCAGAGGACACAAAAACAAAGTAATTGAAATTATCAACAGTCAGTTGTGTGACATTCTGGGCTTATACATAATTTTTTGTTCGTTTTTAGGATGCTATTAAACTGATTGGTAAAGTAAACTTTCCAAATTTATTTATTCTTCCTCCGAGATTAGACTTCCAATGTATTTTGAATGGAAGCATACAAAGTAAAACAATAAAAATACAAAATACAACACCTCTCATGGTTTGCTACCAGTTTCAATGGAAGAAGTGTTTGATAACAAATATCCCTCCAGTAAGTACCACATTTACAATGTTGAGTAGTACATTTATCCTACTGATATTATGAATGCAAAAGTTTGCGCTATACCTCTACATCATCACAAACTTTGGTGTGTGTGTTTCTTACTCTTCCGCGTCAAAACAGCTCAAGGGATCGAGATAAAATAATAAAACAGGGGTAGATTATGTCTGGAATAACACATGGACCACTTTTTATTCGAACACCGGCAAAGCCGTTGGCAGAAGCTAGTGGTGTTATAATTAAAAAAAAGCTCAACCACCGTGTAACCAAGAATTCTGATTCAAAAGTTCATTATTGCTTGTCTTCCTTCATTATTGCTTGTTTCACTTGAAAATGATGTTTTTGGTTATTTGGTTTTAACAAACTCTGCAAGGGTTTGTTTAATTTTTAATTTAAATTAAGAATTTGTTCCAAGGCTCATTTGGATAAAGAGCACAATATAGAGTTTTCATATAATTATTAATACTATTGATCTTACAGCCTCCAGTACCGATGGAATGTGCAGTATGTACTAGTCCGGCTAAAATTATTTCTGACACGGGGACCACCGGTACGTATTTTGACTTATAACAATAGTTAAGGAAATTAAAATTCAATTTATAGAATCATACCTGTTGCAGGGACTTGCATACGAGATGCCTTCAATATTCAAATTTCAAATGGTTCAGAAGCGGAGAAAGAATCAGTAAACGAGGAAATCCCACCGGGTGAAATTGAAACCGCTGCTACTTATGGCGAATCCGAAACTGACACCGAGTACTTGAGAACTCGAATAATTAGAAAAGTAGCTCCCATGATAGATGGTGATTATGACACACAGTTTGAATGGATATATAAATTTCCTAGATCACAAAAGCTTACCAATAAAATCAACATCAACGATGTATTTCAATTGGTGTCGCATCGAGGCTTGCTTAATCCCAACGAGATTCAATTCGTACACGTGATATTTAGGCCAAAACCTAATATAGGTGTCCGAGCCGTCCTGGAATGTGAAGTTCTGGGTGGACCTTCTGAGACCATCATCGTTACTGGTCAAAGTTCTGATCTAATGTATGAAATAAGTTCTGAAACTGTTAATTTTAAAATAAGGTCTTTTCATGAAAATGCAATTGAAGGGTTGAAAATACGTAATATTGCAAACTTACCGTTCGAATGTAAAACCTATCTATTTGAGAAGAAGTCGACAAGTGATCTAGAAGCAAATATTCTTGAAATAATACCGCCCGAGAAATTATTAGGGCCTAAAGAAGAAATTGAATTGAAAGTTGTAGTTCGACCTGGCGTGGTTGGTTACTTCCGCAGAGAATTTTTGCTAGAAATTGGACACCTCCCGCTTATGCCGATCGAAGTAGTTGGGTGGGGTGATGTGCCTCAAGTCTTTATATCGTTGCAACGATCTTATACAGCTGAAAGTGTAAGCATTAATCTTAAATGAAATTAAGTTTACCAATATTTTCATGTATTGGGGATTTAAAAGCCTCCATATCAAAAATGTATCAGATTAAAGTAGATCCATGTGATCAGATCTTTTATGTTTCACGTTGAGTATATAGAGGTAATGAACAATACATAATTATGTACTGTTTTAATTTGGCTATGATAGTACCGTCACTATGCCAAAAGTCCTTCTTAAAATATGATTAATTAATTAAACGTTCTAACTTTATTATAGTCTTCTTCTCTCTATGTCGTTATCTGTAGTTTACTTTAACTACCTTATTTTAAACATATTTACTGTAAAGCTAGTTGCTGACGTCATCATTATATCAATCACAAAACCTAATGCTGAACATAGGTATAGCTTCTGTAATGATCAGATAGATTAGTTTAGAATATTGTATTCTTATTATAAAGTAAAATGGTTACAGATTCGTCCAGAAATAGGATACGAAGCTATACCAAGGCTGACACAGTCATATCTGGATTGTATAAATGAATTATTTGACAAAGGCAAAGATGAACATTTAAACTCACCGTTGACAGAGAAATGTTTCGAAGATCCTGAATTTCATACAGATTGGCATATTTGTTCAGCTTGGGTAAGTAGTGCGATCTATGTAAATGCTTGTAATAAATAGAGAATTGTATTTACAATAGAGACACTGACAAAGAATATATTTAGAGAGAGAATGTATTTATGGGGGCTAGCGGGGCCAATTTTACCTATCTCTATATTTTTGTATGTGTATTATATAAAACTGACGCATAAAAAATGCAGTTTTTACTAATATACCTATAAAAATAATTCGGTCGAATCAGGAAGAGATTAGTTAAGTACCAAATAATGTATAATTACCTAATGTTTTAGGATGGATACCCTTCTATAATGGATATTGATCTGGTGATAGAAAAATTATTGGTTATAGACTATATAAAGCTCAAGCCTGAGATTATGCACACTTATACTTTAGGTCATCCGAAAGTGGCACCACTACAAGGATTTTCTACAATCCCCTATGTCATTGACTTTGGTGTTGTTATCACTGGAAGTACGGTGAGATATTTCATCTATTGTTTCAAACACATTTTCTATTGTAAATGTTTAATAATAAAATAAAAACTGCGTTTAAAAAACCGACTTCAAAAAACCAAAAACCAAAAACTAATAACAAACAAAAAATCAAATCTAAAAAGCAAAAAATAACTATTATTAGTACTGATAGGTACCCCCCCACTGATAGGTAAGAAGTCGGTGCCATAAGTTCAATACAAAATTATTCATTAAAACCTTAATAGGTACCTTATTCACAATTTTGTGGACATTAAGTTATATCATTATGATATGAGCTTATGGCACCGACTTCTAACCTATCAGTGGGGGGGTACCTATCAGTACTAATAATAGTTATTTTTTGCTTTTTAGATTTGATTTTTTGTTTGTTATTAGTTTTTGGTTTTTGGTTTTTTGAAGTCGGTTTTTTAAACGCAGTTTTTATTTTATTATTTTATCATTTTCAGTGTAAAGCTACATATACCCGTTTTGTTACTTATAATATATATAGGTGCAAAGTTCTAATCAATACAAATTATACAAGCCCAAACACAAGGTAGTTACAGTATACCGTTGAGGAGTTCCCTTAACAATTACACTTTTTCATCATCAGACCCTTAATGACAGCCCCACTCTATTTAGGTGTAAAGTCCTCATCAATACAAATTAATCAAGCCCAAACACAAGGTAGTTACTGTATACCGTTGAGGAGTTCCCTTACCAATTACACTTCTTCATCATCAGACCCTTAATGACAGCCCCACTGAATCTAGGTGTAACGTCCTCATCAATACAAATTAATCAAGACCAAACACAAGGTAGTTAATATAAACCGCTGAGGAGATCCCTCGACTGTCTGTCGACTCCATCATCAGGTCGACTCCAAACCCATATGAAATTGTAGTGTTTAAAAATCGTAATTGAAAAACATAATAGACGCATTACTCCTCCATAGAGTTTTCGAAAGTTCCCCTCGGTTTCCCTAGGATCCCATCATCAGATCCTGACCTCATGGAAATGGGACCATCTCGGGAGTATACCCTTTCAAACAAAACAAAAATTTTCCAAATCGGTCCACAAACGGCGGAGTACTGCGCGAACAAACAAAAAAAAAAAAAAAAAAAAAACAATCAGCCGAACATAGTACCTCCTCCTTTTTTTGAAGTCGGTAAAAAGTGACAAGTTAGTATAGTTGAGTTTATACTTTGTCTCACGAAGTCACGAAGGGTTAACTCACTGTTCGCCAGTAGTTCGCACAAAATAAGGGTGTTTTCACAAATAAACGATTTTTATTTTTTATTTATTATTTTTATTTTTTATATCCATTCAGGGCGGTGGTCCTTGCTACGCCCTTAGCATGGTCTACGACTTACGTAGGACGTGCTACAAACGGTTATGAACTTCTACGTACTTGTAGACCTTGCTGCGGCATTTACAGCTATAATATTGTTAACTACTAATTTCTTGAAAAACATGGATACATTTGTTGCTACCCTTATTTTTCCTTTAAATGTAGTAAGAGCCGACTAAGAGACTGCACATTTATAGAAATCAGGCATCAACGCTCTCTGATAAACCTTAATGACCCTAATAGTTTTAATGTTCCTAGGTACAATGTATAGCTGACGTGATTAATTATGGGCCAATAGCGATCAAGTTATATTTTACCAAAGGCACCGTATTTCCTCAGTGGCTTACAATAAAATTAGTTGGAAGATTGTTACCCGGTGAAACGGGAAAATTGGACGTTACATTTGCCCCCACTTCCACTGATTTTGTCGAACTGGAAAATAACGTGGAAACATCTTTTAATATTGAGGTTGTATTATTGGTGCTTCAGTTCCCTTTTTTTATTTATTATGCGTAAATTGAATAGAGGTGCAGTAATATGACACCCATGTTTTAACTGTGTTTCGAGATGAACTTGTACAGGGGACCCAATTCCTATAATAGCCCACTGCATATAAAACCCTTACCTAATAGAAACACGACGCATAAAAGAACTTAATTAAAAGAATAAAAAACATCTGGAAACTTATTATAATTTATTTTTATCATTTAGGTCGCTTATGGTGTGACAATTCCAATTCAAATGAAGGCTTTATGTGCTGTGCCTTACTTAGTATCGAACGTAAAAGCTATCAACTTCGGATCTGTTAGATGTGGAGATAAAATAATATATTCAGTTCCATTAAAAAATGTGTGAGTATTATTTTGTGTACACATTATTCTTTTTTTAAAAACAATATGATGAAGAGTGGAGATGTACAGCAATCGATTTGCTAGCTATTTTTGAATGTTTGTTTATAGAGGTAGGCCAACATGTATTTGGTATGCGACTCTGAAATTGAAGACGGTTGGACCTCCTCCGATGATGGTGCTCAACAATTCGGGAAACTACAAGCCAGGAGCCGGAGGATGGCTTAGTGTTGCTTTCAAACCGACGATGGAGGTCAGTAGTACCAACTTAAAATTACTCTTGTTTGCATTGTACATCAGTTCGTAATAGTAAGGTAATTAGAATGTTTTAGTAGAAATGCTTTATGAGTTCAGTGTAAGCACAGATGCCATAGAAAAACTTTTGAGTTGATCAAAATATAATTTATCAGGATTTTTTATTTATGAAAATTACGATTAAAATAATAATTATGGTCTTTCATTGAACAGATGATGTACGAAGGCCACCTCATATTTAGATTTCACATGAACCCTCAAAAAATGACGATTCCAGTGACGGGTCAAGGAATTGTTCCACACGTGCATATTATAGGGCCGAATGTAAATTTCTCGCCAACCCTGCCGTGGGCTGAAACCACGGACATATACTTTGGACTAACGAATCCATGTCCGTTCCCAATAGAACTGATAATGGCACATTCGGATGAGTAAATATCACGAATTATTTTAAATTACCATGTACAATTTTAAGTTGTACTTGAATATCGTATCATCTCTGTTATTTTACAAAGCATTTGTAGTGACAGAACTATATTAAAGCACGACTTAAAATTGAGTGGTGTTTGAGTATTTGGACATTACTCTCGTAACTGTTTGAGTTTAACGAGATAATTCGACTAGTTTCGAGCGCCACATAAGCAACTGTTGAATTATCTTGTTTTTAAACATACCCATTTAAAATTTAGATAAGTAGTTAGTTATTTTTAAGTAAACTTTTCACTTTTATATCGAAATGATTAAAGCACTGTCATTACTTTTTACCAGAAAATGGAAAGAAGAAGATGATATTTATCAATTACTTTATAAATACTACGGCAAACCAGAAGAGATGTTGGTTCCAGTGATAAAGCCAGGAGTGGGGCTACCACAAGAAGTTGTAAATTTTTATTATAAATTTCATGAAAGAATCAAAAGGTAGGCACTCCACAAGACACAAACAATGTCAAAAATTAGATTTCCACTGTTTAATCTCTTTTTGTTTTGCAGAGCAAAAGAAGATGAATTAGCTCTTAGCAATAAAGTGTTAACATCCAAGGTTACACCGGCTGCAAAGTATGAATTTTGTTTTGAAATGGTTCATAATTTTAAAATAACTGAAATCCTAATTTTATATGGATACAATATAATAATATTATACAAAGTAGATATATTTGATTGTTTGTTTAACGCGTTCACCGACGTGTAGGTCACCGGTGACCTACGTGAGCGGAGGATTTGCCTTCAGCAGTTTTCTGTTGGCAGCCAAAGGCTTAATTATATATTTGAATTGAAAAGGCTCAGAAACAATTGGACTGATTTGAAAAATTCGTGGATAATTCGATTTCAGAATTGATTGAAAAAAAAACACCCGGTATTCAGATTTTATTACTAGATACTGATTTTTATACACAGTTGTACACGTACGGAGTGCGTTTACTCAATCGCCTAGCCAACTACCGTTCTGATGATTACACAGGTACATAGGTCTCTAATTTATTTTATAGAAAACCAAAGAGTCCTAGAGAGAAGTTATCTCAGAAACAACATACCGGGCCGACCAAGGATATAGCTATATCGCCTATGAAGATGAAGATACGAACCGAAGCTGAAATAATAGCAGGTTTGATGTTAGATTGAATTTAAATATTTAATACTGGTATTGCTATAAACTTTTTGATACCTAATTTTGTTCGAAATTGTGAGCAAGAATCAGAAGTGATAAAGGATCCGGGCGCGTCCTAAGTACGACCAGCCACCGAAAAATACGTATTTTTTGTAATACATATACATTGATTCACGTGTTTTTCTTCACAGATGAAATAAAAGCGATGAAAGACAACCATGTGGACCCTTTAAGACAATGTTTACATGTTTTTGACAACGACGATGATGTGTCGGGAACGGCTACTGGCCAACCAGAGAAATTATCTAAAGGAATTTTAATATTTTTTCACGGATCTCCTTGTGAAGGTACATATATTTGTATCATTGACTGCTGCTTACAAGGCCAATAATATTGTGTCTTTATTATTTGTGTAGAAATGCAATGTCAAGAAATGGCTTACACTGTCGGGAAAAAGTTAGCCATACCAACAATAAATGTAGACCACTGCATAGTCCATGCACTGTGCGAAACCGATATTCCGGCGAAAGAGCTGGTGGTTGCCGCTGTAGAAGAGAATTATGAAATGTTGAAAAGAAATATTAGGAGCGACACTGTTACCGATGCTGAACAAGGTGAAGGTAACAACATTACTACAGTTAGATTCTGTTCGTTCTCAGGATTTGTATTTTCAGGAGAGGCGTGAAAATATTTTGTACCAATTACGAATTTACGCGTATGGTTTGCAGACGAATTTGAAGATGATAAAGACGAATTTGAAATTCTTTTCGACAAAATTCAGTTTCTAGCCAATCAAAAAAATGTACCTACCCCTCGCTCAAAACAGAGTGACAAGAAGAAAAAGAAGACATCCATTAATTCCTCTTCGATAGCTTCTCATACTGCATTGGGAGCTATGGGATCGACGACTCTTTTTCAAATGGTAAGAACGAATTTAGTTAAATGTATAGGGGCACGTAACAGCATATTATCCTTTTAAAATTATTTTCCACAGGATTTAGTGGAAGAACTTCTTACTGAATTGTTTCGACAGCCTCGCTATAATCGAGGTTTCGTGGTAGAGTCATTAACGAGTTTCGTTATGAAGAATCCTCCTTTAGTGATGATGACATTGATTAAATGTAAACGCAACATTCGGAACTTACACCTAGTTTTATGCCAAGCAGATTTCTCTAAATGGGCGCAAACGTACGAAGAAAGCCAACGTGAAGCTGAAATCGTGGTGGATGAGTTAGTATTGATTATTTTAAAAATAATGCTGGTTCATCTGCTTAATGCAGTTAAGTGCTGGTGAATTTATTTATAAAAAATCTACTAAGTAATCGAGTTAGAGTGACAACGATTTGTTTAATTTTTTTTTATTAAGTAAGTATTATCATTTGCAGGACTCAGGTAAAGGTATATGATGAAACGGAAATAGAGGACATTGTAACATCATTTGAAGATATGGACGCAGAAGAGTATGAAAACTCATCTTTGGAATTGAAATCCTTGTACATATTGTGGGGCTTAGAGGAGAGGAGACGAAAATATTTTGAGAAGAAAGGGTAACTATCTTCAGTTTTATAGCTGCTATTGTTAAGAATCACAACAAAAATGCTAGATGACTAAAGATTAAAATAGTAGTGTCTGAAGTAGTACAAGCTACATTTACCTTATATTGTGTTGATGAAGTGGTATATTTTGATTACAAATTGAAACAAAGTTAATAAATGTTGAGTAGTATTGATTACAGACCGCTAGGAGAAACTACTCGTAAGAAAGATAAATCAAAAGGTATGTACTATGGTATTTTATAAAAAGTATGAACACCAACAAAATAATAATTATTAAACTTTTATAACATAACATATCGCCTTTTACCCCCGAAGAGGTAGGCAGAGGTGCGCATTACAGCACTTTTACAATGACAGTCAGTAGAATCCACTTTTCACTATTTATGTTATGAGTCCCATGTAATGGGATGTGAGCCTTTTGCCAAATACCGGGCACATTTCCAGACTTCGTGCAACTACTGAGAATTTCTTAAAAAAAAACCAGTAATGCTCTGCCCGACCCGGGAATCGAACCCAATACCCCTTGCCCTGCAGTCGGACTTGCGACTTCTCGGCCAACGAGGCAGTCAACTTTTATATATTAACTTTTTGTTTTAGTCTGCTAACTACATGCTGCGTAAGTTGGTAAATCAATTTATCACATTTTAAAAGATTTGATTTGCTTAATTAAGTAATTAAATATTTCACGTTTTAAGTACTTCCAATAAAAAATGAATGCGTAGGTATAAAATATTAATTTGTTTTAAACGGTGTCGCGTATTTCAGCTTCTGTGCATATAGATGCGACCGAAATGAAGAAAAAAGCAAAAAAGGATGAGCCTAAAAGTACGTAATTTGTTTTTTATGGGATAAGCCGGTAAACGAGCAGACGAATTATGTAACTGATAGTAAGCAATCGGCGCCGCCCATGGACACCCGAAACACCATGCAGAGGCCAGTTTATCAGTGCATTACAGGCCTTTTGGGCATTAGAAATTTGAGAGTTGTCGGGGAGTCAAGGATTAGGGAGATTGGGCCTCCGGTAACGTCACTCACACGACGAAACACAACGCAGGGTTGTTTCACGTCGGTTTTCACTCCGGACGAACCGGCCCATTCGTGCCGGAGCATAGCTATCACACCATTATTTTATTAATTCAAATGGTTACAACGATTCTTTCGACCATTGACGTTGAACTCCTGCCTCGTTCTGTTAGCGGTTCAATTTCGATGGGATAAATAAAATCTCTGATAATTTTGTCATAGTTGTCTTCATGTTTTATATATTTAAAATGGTGTAGATAAAGTAAAGCCAACGTAAAGTTCTATTCTAATACAGGTAAAACTACGCCACGCCAAACACCTGAATATTCGATGATGAATGCGAAATACAATGACTACAATAAACTGACATACGAGCAACTGATAAATATTGCAAATAATTGGATTATTGAGGAATGTGACATAGGACAACCACTACTCTCCTTCAATGGTCAGGTAGTTGGAGCAGCTCAGAAGAAAACTAAGAAGAAGTCTGAAGTCCAATTACATAATCAGGTACATTAACATTATACATTGGGTCATTTATTAACAAGTTCAACGTCAGAGAAAACTATGGCGAAGAATTTGTCCCCAACAGTTTTCTGTGGGCAGTCAAAGGCTTATTGGGGAAAAGCAGTTATTTGTCTGATATACATACTATGTATGCCTCTCCAACTCCATCCACTTCTTCAGTGGCCATTATTCTCAGAATTGAAATGCTATAATAAAGCACGAATGTGTTTCGTTTTACGTCAATAGTCGAGATTAAGAGTCGAGTACGAGTCGTAAGATATTTATTTAAAAGCAGAACACAATATATTTCGATTCTAGTCATTTTGGGCGTGACGTCATTGACATTTGATTTGTTCTTTTGTTTACTTAATAACAATTAAAATGTTTTTATCATAATTACAGTTATCTGAAGCGAATCTTGCGAATAGAGGCTTTCCAATTACATTCATAATGTGTCCGTGTTTACAATACAAAGAAGCTTTGAAGAACATGTTTGCAAGAAATATTATGAAATCGGAATCTTCAAAAGAAGATCATGATATTCTTAAATGTTCTGAGATTAGAAAAGAGTTCACTGTTTTGCTGCCTAAAACTTTCCCTTCGATACATCATGAGCCTCCGTTGAAATGGTGGTATTTAGATGAGTTGCCGGTGAGAACCTTTGATAAATCTACACTTGTTGAAGTATTAAAAACAACTAACGCTTATTTCTCTTCTATATCTTGAATATACATCAGATAGAGTTTTGACCATTAGTATTTGTGAAAGAAAATATACGATTAAAATCAAACGGATCGCCAGTAGTTGATCGAAAAAAAAAAGAAATACCAGTCTTTATATTGTAAATCGTTTTACAAGCTGTAATTGTATGCCTATACCTAAAATCAAATATTGTAACTCGCTTGTTTTTAGTAAATAAAGATTTTTTTATTATTATTATTAATCTGTTTCCATTGTTTAATTGCAGGTAAAGAAATGTGAATGCAATCAATTAACAGATCTAAATTTGTTGGATGACACAAATCAAGACAATGTTTTAAACATCCTCTCGAAATGGCACTGCACTTGCGGCAAGAAGGTGACGTACATCATACATATGTACCTAGTTATTATTTCTTTACCTGGGTTTAAAGATGTTTTAAATTAAACAATAATATTGGTATTCCAGCTGTACTCCTCACAAACTTCCACAAGTGAAATCCCATCACTCTCAGTGGACAAGATTCCCCCTGAGTCTAGCGAGGAAGCTTCAGAGCCACAACCCTTGCCGCTACGGCGTGTAAAAACCATTGCTGGTACGTAAAAAATAACAATCTAGAATTACATTAGGCGAAATATATACATCGAAATTAAATAGTGATAAATTAGATGCATATGATACGTAGAAAGTTTATTCTTTCGTTGTTTGCATGTGAAAAATTTATTTTCTATTTATTATAAGTATAGATTATTGTACCTTTTTTTAAGGGGGGTAAATCATCGAATCTTTTCTCCCGCCTGGGTGAGGGAGGGAGTGCCAGACTCTTACTGACTATGACTAAAACCACCCCGTTCTTACCCCTGGCCTTTTCTATTAGGTCCCATCCGTGGTGATCTGATGGCTCTTTGAGGCGCGCGCGGAACGCCACGCGCTGTGCGCACGGGTCTGGATCTGGTCAGGCGGCGAGCTACGCATGCTTGCCATGCGCTTACGGTGGCCGAAAATTGTCCCGCGATCCCCGACGCCCGGAGTGTCCTTCGCGACGGCTGGGTTGCGAGGAGGCAGCACTTTGCTGCTTTACGCGCTCCGCCTCCTTCATAGTTAGCATGACTGCGTCGCAAAAGGAGGAGCGGCATCCCAGTCCTCGTCGCTCCGCATCATGGCCCGGATTGGGGCCGGACGCAAGAGGTCGCAGCCCTGCGTGGGCTGAGCACCGCCGTGCCCTCAGGGCATGCCTCTACCGTATGTTCCACCGTGTCTACAGGGCGGGTCTCGCAGTGATGACACTCGGGCGTTTCCTCCCGCACTATTAGACACAGGTACCTCCCGAAGCTCCCATGTCCGGTGAGGACATGCGTCAGGCGGTAAAAAGGGAACTTAGCGCTGCAATGGCAGCGAGCCCAGCCCTCGGTTAGATAATTGTACCTTACCTTTATGTTTAGCTCAGCTTATGCGATACGTTTGTTTTAGCGCCTGCATCTCGTTTAATACTGCAGCCAGGTGATCTGGTGCGTTGCAAATACTCCTTCAGTCCTCAAGAGGAAGGCAACTATAGTGTTAAGCGGTATGTTGAAGTCAGCGGGTGGCCGAAGTCAAGAGCTGACATTAATGTTAATGGCATCTGTGATTTGCCAAGGTAACGTACCGTTATAATATACATCGTTGTAATCCGATTAAGTACATTTCTAAAAATAATACTAAAATTTTCCTAACGAGACATTCATAACATTAGAGTTATGTTACAGATTGGATAGTCGTCCTAAGAAAATGTTCGCTAATTTTGTGAGGAGAACACAAGAAGATCACATCTACAAAATAACGTACTTAGATGATCTCAAAGTATTTGAGTTTGGGCCATTGTTTATAGGAAATAATAGGTACGATCAAATCGAACAAGATTTTGCTGTAAAATATTTTTAACGTGTCTTTGCTCCGGTTTCTTTGATCTGGCAGATATGCTCGACTCCTATTTATCTTTAAACGAACACATTGCATTTGTAACGAGCTGAATGTGTTTAACAGAATTTATGAAGAAGACTACATAATCAACTTGAAAAATTCATCCTTAATGACTGCAGATATTGTTATCGAGTTTCTAGACGAGACCACAGTATTTAATATTGACAAGACGACCATGAAATTAGAAGTAAGTAAAGAAAATAATCGTGCTTTTACTTCTTAAATAAACACGACCACAGAATGTATCGTGTGGACCCTTGTCTTATTTCGACGTAAAAGATGAATAAATTAGGAAACAATTTCTTCTAATATATTTAGTGTTTGCACTAGTATATTTTTGCATATTAATCACATTTCTTCCTTATCTTAGCCTGGCGGACGAGGCAAATTAAAAATCTCCGCAGCCCCTTCTGAAGTGGGTATACATAAAACCGTGCTACTATTCTGTGTGAACGACAACCCCGAAATAGTGATGGTGAACGTCTCTTGCAGCGGAGTGTGGCCTATTGTTGAAATACTACCACTGTCTAAGGTTATAGGTAAGATTCAATTTGTCTATATAATTATTGTTATCAGAGTTTTGTGCCTACTGCTGTATGTAAAGCTTTCCAAAAGCACGCCGTTAAGTTCAATCTTTACAATTATTCGCGTCCAACTACAACCACCAAATACACAAATATCGTCACTCTAACTAACTAAAGAGCTAAGTTAAAAAAACTTTTTTTTTCATTGAGATTTCATGATTTCACGTGTTATAGAGCATATTGTTTTGAGACGTTTCCTTTAGATCCATTTACTCCTTAAAAAAGGGTTTTTAAGAATTCTTATTTATTTTGAGTATTTATTCAGACTATGGAAGACTTCTACTCTATCGTCGAGAAGATGACAGGTTTATTGTAAAGAACGACTCAGTTTTACCAATAATGTGGAAGATACGTAATGCCCAAGAGTTTGTTGAAGATTTCATAATAGCGCAGACGTCAGGTATCGTGCCGAGAAGTGATAATCAAGTTGTTCCCGTCACATACATTGCATGTCGAGTTGGTGTTATCACTTCGAAAATTCTTACGATCGATGTAAGTTTGATCTTTAGACAAATGTTACGTATATTGTTTTAGTATTTCTGAATGAATATCTATGTATATATAGTTTTATGGATCTTCTATAGTAATAAAACTACTAGCGCCAAGTTTAGTTTATAGGGTATTTAATTATTTTTTATTTTAAAAGAAGCCTACGTAACGCCTTAAAAATTAACCAGATCCATTATTCGTAAATCATACATCTCTACAGATTTACGACTCACTGGGCCGCGGAGACCCTATTTTGATGGACAACCTGTCATTGTCCGCGGAGTGTTACGATGTAATGGTTGAATGTGCACACGAAAATCCAAGCGAGAACTATCTCAACTACGGCAACGTCAAAGTTAACTCTACAGTCGTTAGAGAAATGTATTTGCTGAACCGAGGCAAATACAATATTTATTACAAGTTAGTTCAAACGTTATTCCTATTTTTTGTAATGCTCATTTAGGTAGGTTCATTCACATTTTTAGGTATCGATACCGGTTCAAAATTACATAACAAAAAAACCATTAATTTTTTCACACATTTTCGTGTTTATTATGAAAGTTTTATGAATAAATCTCCCAGTCTTAAATTATACTTAAAAGGTATACATACCTTTTAAGGGCTAATAAGAAAATAACTTTCTTCTATTTTTAACAAATAGACTGAAGAAGGTAAAGGATTTCCCTGAGCCGTCGCTGTTGCGGTCTTTCGATGTTCTACCTGAGTGCGGCGTAGTCCCGGCTACTCTGAAGCTGGTAGCTATCGAGTTTGAGTGCACACCCACCACCTCCATGAACCTGGTCAACGTGCCAGCTTATATCTGCTCCCTACTAGACGGCAGCAAGGAACAAGTCGTTGTGGCCAAGTTCCCAGTTTGTGTCAGCATCGCTTCATTTTATAATACGTAAGTTTCATTTTCTTTTATAGTTTTATTGCTTTATCTCTACGACAGCTTAAAAGTTTAAGGTATTTGTCATTAGACTTAAAGACTATTTAGTCAACAGTGAATTAGTATTATGATTCAAAAACACGAAAACATTTTAATTTCAAGGTTCACATTGTTCCCGCTGGGCGAGTTGAACTTCCATATAATTCCAGTGGGAACAGGAATAACGAGAGACGTTATTTTGAACAATACAAGCAAATGCCCCGTCACTTACGAGATTGTTCTACCGCCTACATATCAAATGGACGCTGTTCTAACAGCGCCGCCGCCGTCGAAAGGAAAGGATACTCGGTCTGTCGTAACTTGTTTGTATTTGTGTTATAGAGAAGAAAAAATATTAGTACTAAATATTTTAATTTATGTACCCAATTGTTACTGACTGATATAGTATCTCTATCTATTTTTACATTGAAAGCTCAAAATATGGTTAAAATCACTATTAGTTCACATCACTACGTAAATAACTATATAATTTAACTTATTTTCCAGAATAAGAAACCCTCCATTAAAATGTGGAAATTTCTTGATAATGAACGAAGACAACCTGCTTCCTCCTGGCACCAGTCGTACGATACAGATACAATTCTTCGCGACAGCAGCGCGAAAGTTTGAAGAGACTATTAGCTTTATTATTAGCGACACGTGTCCTGCCGAGGCCAACGGAGTGCCGCTCCGACTGGTCGGCACAGGAGCCATGCCAACTTTGGATCTTTGGAATTTAGAAACTACATTTAGAGAACATTTGATTGTTAAGAATCTGTCCGAGTATAAAGTACCAGAGGTAATACTTGATAGATCCTCATATCGTTGTGTTCTGTTTTACAATGCTGACTGCGTGTTACTAATTTCGTTGTTCACAGTCAGCACCACATTGTGTGTTCGTGGAAAACTCTGTGACGTTACATTTCTTCTGCGTTACGGTCAACTCAAGTCACACGGGTGCAATAGATCTGTATAACAATGGACTTGTTGCTTGTGCGCTCAACATGAGGCTCCACCATCAATCTAATTCTAACCCAACCATATTCTCTTTGGATAAGTTCGAGACACATATCGAACCATTACTGCATAAAAATCTTGGGATTATTTTCTCTCCTAAATCCTTGCAGGTAAGTTAACAATTAGATTAAAAGATAATACTATAAAATATTTATGTTTGAGGATGTTAAATACCAAGTAGGTAAATACTATTTCAGGAATATAGAGCGGTCTTGGAAATAAGGCTTAAATTGTTAGACAACCAAGAACAGTCATTTAAAATATGCCTTATTGGAGAGGGAGTTATTCCTAGGATAGAACTGTTATCACCTCGGCTGAGATACCAAAGGACAGCTGTGCTACCGTTTTCAGTGACTTGCTTGGGTTCCATCAGCAGTAAACCTATTTCCTTTAGAAATATATCATCGGTAAATAGTGTTACTGTTTTGGAAGTATTACAGTCACTGGATGAAGTTCGACCCATTTTTTGGTTGGCTGCAGCGCCGGAGAGCGAACTCATGGTCACATCTGGAGTGAAAGGTAATTTGTATTTCAACACAATAACTTTAAAATTGTTATGCCTCGATATATTATGTGCACCAACGTTTAGTGTATTTAGGTACTCTCAACATTACGATTCGATTTTCTCACACACAAAAATTTTAAAAGGATTACACATTTTATTACCTACTTGATACATACCGCTTTAAAATTAATAATACTTTATTTTTTCAGAAGAGATAAATTTGCGAATGAAAGTAATGTTGCGACCAGCACAGAAAACAACATTAAATGCTTATTTCAATCCGATAACAAAAGGAAAAACTAGTTGTGAAATAAGAATTACCATTGAAGAAAACCCTTATGAATATTTTATGGTAATTGAAACGTAAATGCCGCTTACACACGTTTCCACATTCTAACGTTTAAAAATGTTAATTAAAAAAAACAATAAACACTAAATTCTTGTCAAAATCGTAATTATAAGCGACATACCTGATCAAAATTAAACGTAGGAAGGAGATGTCGGACTCGAAAAATTCTCGGTTTTTGCCAGGAGTTTCAAAAGAAAGCTGAGTCTTGAAACATACATTTTCATATCTCAGGACTTTATTGAGAAAAATCTATTTAGTTGTCACCATTCTTAGTTATAAGTAAGACTATGAAGGCTTTTTTGGGTTCAGGTAAGGTGTGAAGGTGAGTCGTTTATGGAGGATGTGATACTCATGGGTCTGGAAATGCTTTCCATGAATTTGGACCTCGATACTTATAAGATGTCAGTGGACGAGTAAGATTTTTGCAAATATTTCAAACAGATAAATGTATATACTTAAACAGATAAATGTATATACTAAATGTAAACCTATGTATATACTTTTTAATTTATTAAAAAGAAAATATTAAATGTAATTAGTTTAATAATTAAGCTTCCTTACTTTAGTGATTACATGATTACCAATTAGAAGGCTTCGGGGTCGATTTTAAGATCGAAACTTTAATCGAATTTATCAATAGGTATTCTCAGAAGATAAATAGAGTTTGGATTTATGAACAATTTACATACATTAGGTTCGCTTCATATTATATTAGGTTACATGAACATTATTGGCAAAAATGGGTGTTACAACATTTAATCCACGTATCTCCGCCTACACCTTTGCTTTAGTATAATAGTAAAAGACGTTATGTATAAAAGATTTTTCCCAGGACCATGTCAACTGTGTCTACTATGGAAAAGAAAAGTAAAACAGCCAGTTCAATTGAAAAGAAAAAGTCGAGGACTGTGCACCCTGTAGAGTCTAAAAGGTCGAAACGAATATCATCTGCTTCAATAAGGCTGCCCCCCTATACGGAACCTTCCCTTCTGAAATACGTCTTAGAATTTGGTAAACCTAAAATTTTATTTAATTGGTATTGGTTTGTTGTCAAACGGTAAAGAAGAAATAAAGCGGTTTAATTCCGCGACGGGTTTGATTTGAAACCACAATTTAGCACAATATACTGTTTGTAGTTAGTTCCGGTCATATTAACAGTGCTTAAACTGTCAAAGACCAAGCGGTCACCGGTGATCGCAACCTATTGTTCTTTAATTGTGTCTATAAGTACGGTACACGACGAGTAAAATACTGTCATACTGACTAGGTACACACATCAACATTGCCTAGGGATATTTCATTTTGACCTTATTTTATGAAATGTTATAAAAATTTTGTTTGTAATGTTGTAAAACATTACAACATTTACTTGCAATACATAAAAGAGATGCAGAGAAGATTTTTAATGAATTTTTTTGTGATTTTATTTTATTTTGTACATAATAGACTCTAATACTTTTCTCTTCTCTTGTCAAATGTCGACGTGACATAACAATAAATGTAAAACACGTTGAAATTAGGATAAAGAAAATGTGTAAACGCTTTTAAACATTAAAAAATAAACTATTTTATTGTAACTTGAACTAACTTTTCGACCGTCAAATTCAAACATTCGATATTCTTTTGTTTCAAAATGAGTTTTTATTTTTAATTTTTTTCCAATTTCGAAAGAAGTGGTGGAGAAGAAAATTTTTTACATATAACCTCTTTTATAAATACAGTAAAATAGTTTTCAATTTAAGAAGTCTTTCGTGTAATATCCTCAGACAATGTTGATGTGGTCCGTACTTTGGTATGCACCTTTAGCATCTGGTACCTACAAAGCTAGCAGGAATCTATGCCTTCAAAGTATACCCTAACACTACTCTGTACCTACGATACATTTTGTTGCTCAGAAAATAAGTAGAGACCGCCTGGCGGCATTCTCTGATTTTTAATTTACACATTTAACTGAAAAAAATCATAATAGGATGTTTGTGTTACAGGTGGTTGCGAGTTGTGTTCCCTACAAAAGAGGTCGGTGGTAATGGTGAACAATTCAGAAAAAGTGTACAAGTTCTCCTGGTCAGAAGTTGAATGTATTATCACAAAGCCATCCATCGGCTACATCTCTCCAGGAGAAGAGAAAGACCTGGAAATTAATTTCTTCGCTGCACAACCTGTTTCAATACATAAGGTTTGGTTCCTTATTTTATATAAAAAATTACTTTATTTAAGTAACGTACAAATTGAACTCATAACAACTAACAACACTATGCGATTATCATCTTATTTTATATTATTATATATTTATACTATTATATAAAGGTGAAGACTTTGTTTGTTTGAACGCGCTAATCGCGGGAACTACTGGTCCGATTGGGAAAAAATCTTGATTTATTGGATAGTGCATTTATCGAGGAAGGATATTATAGGCTATAAAACTTCACGGTACGATTAATAGGAACCGAGCAGAGCGGGTGAAACCGCGCTGAAGTAGCTAGTTGTTAATATAATTCCAATAGCATTCCAACTAACAAAAGATTGCGAAATACATTGAAGTAAAAGAAACCGTATGCTACTTGCAGGAGAGTTTAACTTGCGTTTTAACAGCGATTAGCGATGATTGTCTGACATTGGATATGAAGGGTGCAACGTGGGACAATCGCCAGATGATCACACGCTTCGATCATAACACGTAAGTCGGTTAATCATAATCATCATCATCAGCCTGTATTCGTCCACTGCTGGACATAGGCGTCTCCAATGGAGAGTCGGTTAATACTTTAACTACCAAGTTTAAAATGGTGAAAGTCAACCTCCACTAGCGTCAGGCACCGGTGACTGACGTGGCGCTCTAAGGGTTAATAATCACAACAAAATGATCAAGGAACGTCCCCGAAGACTGGTAGCGTTGCCATATTGTCTGGCAATGCTACATTTAGCCAGCACTCTTAACGCAAGAGTAGTGAAGAATACGACGACTGTAATCAGTTAGGCTGTTCTGTAATAGGTCAATTCGAACTCTCGAAGTGAGCTCGATCGCATTCTCGCCCGTCATTGGTCGGGATCATTCTCACAACCAATGACATGGCAGACCGCGATCGAGTTCACTTCGATATTTTGAATTGAAAAATACCGAACAGCCTAGCTGATTGGTGAAATGCAGATTCAGTACTATTTAACTGTTTCGTAAATTAATCTGTGTTCAGTGGCTATTTAGGTGGTAGGTAGTGAAACTGGTTAATATAATAACAAAGAATGCAAGAACGTAACTTCATCCATCACTGTCAATGACGTGCGACGAGAATGCTTGCCAGATAAGTGTCTTAACAAGAGATGCGCGTATTAAATTGGAGACGAAACATGTGTACCAGCACAATAGTATAACAACGTGCAATATTAATTACAAGCAGTTGTTGCCTCCTTGAAATTTCTCTTTAGTCTATGAATTCTAAACCAGTAAATATTACCCCCATGAAGAAATTTACTTATTATTATTTTATAAGCTCTTTACATAATATATTATACTCTCTTTAAGTCTCTTTGGTAACCAGTGGCGTAGCGTGCTTGGCAGGGCTCCTTTGTTTGGAGGCCCTTATGAAGGATAAAGATTTCTTACAAGAGATAATAAATTATGCATAAAATACTAATAATTGGTATGATCAAAAAACCAAAAACTAATAACAAACAAAAAGTCTAAACTAAAAAGCAAAAAATAACTATTATTAGTACTGATAGGTTACCCACCCACTGATAGGTAAGAAGTCGGTGCCATAAGTTCCATACAAAATTATTCATTAAAACCTTAATAGGTACCTAATTCACAATTTTGTGGACAGTTATATCATTATGATATGAGCTTATGGCACCGACTTCTAATCTATCAGTGGGTGGGTAACCTATCAGTACTAATAATAGTTATTTTTTGCTTTTTAGTTTAGACTTTTTGTTTGTTATTAGTTTTTGGTTTTTTGAAGTCGGTTTTTTAAACGCAGTTTTTATTTTATTATTTTATAATTTTCAGTGTAAAGCTACATATACCCGTTTTGTTACTTATAATCTACATAGGTGTAAAGTCCTCATCAATACAAATTAATCAAGCCCAAACACAAGGTAGTTACTGTATACCGTTGAGGAGTGCCCTTAGCAATTACACTTCTTCATCATTAGACCTTTAATGACAGCCCCACTCTATCTAGGTGTAAAGTCCTCATCAATACAAATTAATCAAGCCCAAACACAAGGTAGTTAGTATAAACCGCTGAGGAGTTCCCTCGACTGTCTATCGGCTCCATCATCAGGTCGACTCCAGACCCTTATCAAATTGTAGTGTTTAAAAATCTTAATTGAAAAACATAATAGACGCATCACTCGCCCATATAATTTTCGAAAGTTCCCCTCGGTTTCCCTAGGATCCCATCATCAGATCCTGACCTCATGGAAATGGGACCATCTTGGGAGTATACCCTTTCCAACAAAACAAAAATTTTGCAAATCGCTTCACGCATCTCAGAGTTATGCGCGTACATACATACAAAAAAATAAAAATAAAAAAAAAACAACATACCGGCCGAACGTATAACCTCCTCCTTTTTTTGAAGTCGGTTAAAAATCGGAAAATTTTCCAGACAAAAGTTTTCCGATTTTCAGGCAAGCCCTCTACCTTTAGACTATATTTCTGCCAACCTTTAAACGCATACTTGACGCGGGTTAAATATCGTTTTGTGATTATATATTACTGAAATAAAATTACAATTAGGATTCCTGACGCATGTTGGGGGCATGGGCCCCTGTAGTCCAGGGGTCCTGTATTATTGATACGGCAGATACGCCCGCCGCTAGCAACGCCCCCTTTGGTAACTTATATTGCGGTCTGGTTTAGGCAGTCACTTAAAAGTTTAGGTAAAATGTGCAAAGATACAAAATTTATTTACATAGTCATATGATGTAAATCATTAAAGAATAGAAGCTTATTCCTATTCGAAGAAAATGTATTGTAAGATTTGAACCATACCAATTTTGAACGTTATTTTCCAGGGATCTAAGTTTGAATCAGAGACGAGAATCTCATATTGGTGAACTAGTGATTCCACCAGCAGATCATGTTATGGGATCTATAACTATGGTGATATTATATTCAGCACAAACCGAGTATACTAAATATACGACTAACTTACCTGAACATAAAACATTGCTTGACACATTCATATATCAGGTAATCGTTCTTCTATTAAATTGATGATAAGACTTATGAATAATGAGGTGACTACAGTCGTAACTGTATTGTAACAATTAAATTTTTATAAAGGAAGCTTTCGTCCACGTGTTTTTCATAGCTCAAGAATAAATTAGAAAAGCCTAACGTGGTTTATATACACCTAAATATTATGTATTTACTTTATTTCGTTTTTTTAGACAAGAAACTTCGAGTTTAAGGTGCAAAATGTTGGTCAAGTCCCAATGAAGATAGTGTGGAGTTTTCAAATAGACGACGAATTCCCAGCACGAGTTGACAAACAAGAAATAAGAAATTCACAGGTATCTATTAGACCATTTGAACGAAGCACAATTCACCTAAAATGTATTTAATGATTCATCTTTCTCTTCATGATTCTATCCCAACTATTTTCGAAGTGTCGTGGTGCAAAACAATCCCGTACATTTCATCCTTCGAAATAAAACGTTGACTATCTGAATCATTAATTAAATAATTACGATTGTTAGACATATTCGGAAGGTATTGTTGATGAAGACGGTAATATTGTGAACCATGGCTATTCGTCGACCAGCAACGAGCCGATGCCAGTAATGCCAATACCTGAACAAGCACAACCTGAAAATGGTAAAGTCACTCTGTATGTGAACTAGTTACTGAATTATAAATAACTTTTATATACCTAATTGTGTTCGTATGCCCCTTGTTGTATCTATCAAATTCTGATGAACAAAGTTATTAACGGGATTGTTACTTTTGTATAATAGTTTAATGGGATTTTCAGTGAGACTGTAGAAAGGAGGTACTAATAACAAAACTGTAGTGAAGTGAATGATAACGAAATAGTATGTTACATTGAAGTAAAAAGACTTTGAATTTACTGTATTTTTCTACCCTCAGATCCAAGTAATGTGACGCTGTTCAGTAACAGTGTGGGTCGGGATAGTGTCGACACTTGGTTCGAGGTGGACCTGCCGTTCTCCATAGATCCAGTCAAGGATTGCTTGAAACCAGGACAATCTACAGTCTTCAATGTGACGTTTGCACCAGTTGATGCATTCGATTTTAAAGTGCGTCTCAAAAGTACTATAGGTAATGAAAATCTGCGCTATATTTTTCATATCTACATACTTAGAATATAAAATTATTCATTACTATATTACATGTACAACCTTCGTAAAAATCCGTCAATATTATCTTATCTTATCTTATATATATATAAAAGAAAGTCGTGTTAGTTACACTATTTATAACTCAAGAATGGCTACATCGATTTGGATGAAAATTGGTGGGGAGGTAGCTTAGAACCAGGAGACGGATATAGGATACTTTTTACCCAATTCTTTTTTTACTTTTTACCGAAAATCAAGAACGGGAACGGGAAATATCGGGATTGCGCGTACGAAGTCGCGGGCAGAAGCTAGTAACTTAAGATAAAAGTCACTAGGAAAGAAATATATGTATTGTTTTACGCAACTCTTGATCTATTCGTGAGTTATAAAGGCAATGAGAATATAAGGCACTAAGTACTTACAAATTAGTATAAGTCTACCTTTTTATTCAGATAATCTCGATCCTTACGATCAGAACATATCTTGCAAGCTAACAGCTCGGTCAGTGATCCCATACGTTCACTTGGACATCGAGGAGAGTGACTATGTGACGTCAGGCAGGAGGAAGATCACGGGAGTCGCTTTACCGCCTCATCTTACTGTGCTGGAGTTCAATGTCTTGGGATCGGGATGTTACAAAAAGTATCTATTTTTACGTGTTTTTGATTATTTGGTAGCAATTTTTTTGTTTGATGCTTGGCTCAGTAACATTAATTTATTGTGTACTGATGTTACGATGTGCAATAAGATAGATATAAGCTGTAAAATAGATAGCTAGCCTTCAATAGATTTTGCTCAGTAGAACTTAAAAAAAATGGCAAATTAATAGTACCTAAGTACTAATAGTAAAAAATTGTAGTCATGTGATTTTTTCCAACATAATTTTAGGACGTTCAATGTGATAAATCCTACAAGCGAAGCGTATGAGTTCATATTTGAAATGGTTATGTCGGATAAGCCGGAGTTAATACCGGTTCACTGCAATAGACTGAAGGGATACGTGGAAGGAGGCACATCTTCTGAAGTTACCTTCACATTTTCTCCAACTGCGCCTGGGGTAAAGGAATAAATTGATTTAATAAATGTAGAAAAACGGTAGAAATATATCTTATCTTATCTTATACTATTATATAAAGCAGAAGAGTTTGATTTTTTGTTTGTTTGTTTGAACGCGCTAATCTCCGTCACTACAAGTCTGGTTTGAATAATTCTTTTTGTGTTGGATAGCGCATTTATCGAGGATGAATATAGGCTATAAAACACCACGCTACGACCAATAGGAGCTGAAAAGAGCGTGTGAAACCGCACGGAAGTAGCTAGTCGTATTATAAAAATACCTAAGTATATCATAGCGTATATATATGATCATAGATCATACATTATAGCTGTAGAATTATTTTGAAGGCAATACTGTAGTAACTAAGTACATCAAAGAGCTTCACCAAACCGTAGCTCATTCTACAATTACATTCAATCTGCCAATCCTACGTTATATATTATAAACGACTTACACCATTGTCTTTTATACTGAATTTCAGGATTACGAGTGTCTTTGGAAGTTCCTTATACCAGTCTACAACCTCGTTATGAATATATTAGTAGTCGGTCTAGTGAGGGAGCCTGACGTCGTCTTTGTTCCAACAATTCTTATCATTAGAAACTCTTTAGTCGGCTTCACGTCTACGAATGTTGTTATACTGAAAAACAATGAAACCGAAGACCTGAATTTTGAGTTCAAGGGCAATTCGTTGTGTAATGAATCCGGCAAGACACCTGTTATTTGCGAACCTAATTTCGGAGTATTGAAACCGAGATCTGAGACACCGATTAAGTAAAACGTTTTCTTTATTTCTTTAGTAATTAATCGTTTTTATTGAGTAATGTTTACTTGACAGCTTGGGTACAGCTTAAACATGAAATGACTTGTAGAACACTTGGAGTACATAAAAATTCTCTTTTTTAAAACCTTTGTATTTTTTCTTACAGTATTATTTACACGCCAATACAAGACGGTCCACTTTCATATAAAATATATTGTAATGTGACGTATCTAACGAAGTACTTAACGTTATGCGTTAACGCGCTGAGCTATTCCATTAGACCAAAAGTGACTTACTATTTAATTGGCAATGAACATGTGCTTAACTGTGACGCTATAACCAATATACATTTAGAACAGGTATTTGTATGATATATCTATTCTGAAATCCACATATATCGCTATAAAATTATTAAATAAAATTCGTTGTATTTACGATAAACTCAAAACTATGTAGTTTTACGCAGTTTTATCTAGTAAATACAGTAATTCTTGAGTAAGGTTTTGAGTCTCGTACTTCGAGGAAGGCCACAGATGGAATGCTAGTATTCCTTAACTGGAGTAATAAGGAGTCCTCATTATCCTCATTGAGGAGTTTATTCCTATTATAAACTAGCAAACCCGGCGAACTCCGTTTCGCCACCAGATGGCTTCGTTTTATGTAGGTAACATTTCATTTGGTGATTAAAAGATGAAGAATTTTTTTCCTGAATTTTCTTTGCTATATACCTCACGGACCCCGAGACCTTTCCAACGAATGTAAAACCGTGGAAATCGGCTCGTTCGTTCTGGAGTTATAGCGTTAGGAAGGAAAACCCGACTTATTTTTATATAGTAGATTAATAAATGTTCTTTTAGACTGCTTCGACGTATGAGAGAACGATCACATTTATTATAAAGAACGATGGGTCTGCAACGTTCTTCTTTGAATGGAGTTACAACACAACGTATGTGAAGAAGTACATGCAGCTGAGTATTGAGCCAAAAAGTGGACATGTCACTCCCGCCAATGAAATTGAATGTACTCTGTATTTCACACTCAAGCAAGTTCCCGTACAATCATTTCCAGTTACCTTGGCTGTACGTAAATAATATTTCTTTTATTATTTAACTATTGGCGTGTAAAAGTGCTGCTTTGTAGTCTATTTGCTTCACTTGTTATTTGAATATTCTAAGTATATTCTGACTATTTTAAGTGGTTGTTTGGTCCTGTTGTGGTGAGAATGACTAACTATAGAGCACCAGGTTTAGGGTATAGTATTAGGATCTGACAGATAATGTTGTGAGTGGGTATTTCACATTTGGAATAGAATAAGCTCATCATATTTTTGCGGTAGGTATAATACTTTTTTGTTTAGATTTCAGACGGTCCGGAGTACAGCATCTTTATTCACGCAGATATTGAAAAGCCTGCGTATCATTTCTCTTGCATGGACTATAATTTTTCAAAATGTTTTATCAATGCACCTGATTGTACGTACAAGAAGAATATTGCGTTGACTAATGATGACAAAGTTCCCATTATGTAAGATTTCATTCAAGCTTCTTGATAATGTATCGTCAGTATTATTCAGTAGATCGCGGAGAACTTAACGGGTAACCGGGGCTCCGGCTCGACGTGCAGGAGAAGGAACGGGGTGGTTTTTAGTCAGTAAGAGTCTGACACTCCCTTCCGTCTCACCCAGGCGGGAGCAGTCATTCGATGATTTTCCCCCCTTAAAAAAAAATTATTCAGTAGATCCCATTTTTTTCTAAACTATTTTCATTTAGGTAATGTACCGAAATATTACAGAATTCAACGGATTTTAAGTGGTATTGCAAAATTATTTTGTTTATTTCAGTGTGGCCTTAAATTTTACAAATATACCCGAGTTAGTGGTCGAATATGATGATGTGGCAAGTATCAAACCGGGAAAACGTTTGAAAATTGCAATAGACTTCCGACCGAAGCAGGTCAAGGAATATTTGTTTACTTTGCAATTTTTTGTGAACTCTCTGTGTGAAGAAATTGTCACCATTCGAGGAGAAGGTTTGTCTTATTTAACTTATATTAAGGTTAAGGTTAAGGTATAGTTCAGTAGACACACAGCTCACGTTCTGTATCCAGTGCTGTGGCACTAGTACAGAAGAAGAAGCAAGATGAAACTACATTTACTGCTATTTTATTCATGCATCTGTTCATAGTACTCTATAAGAAGATCAATCCTCTAATGGCTCATGAGGTGGTCTCCGTTATAAAATTACTGCAGTTGTAGACAATGTATATTGTTGTTGATGGTCTTTGCAGGCATTCCTCTCCTATTCGATCTCTACGAAGGGTGCCAAAAGAGCTTCGATTTGGGCTACGTGAAAGTGGGCGATAAGTTAGTTCGTACTATAGAAGTGATGAACCATAGCAAAGTAGCGATCGAAGCCACGTACATATTCCGAGACATGTATCCTGTGGTAGATGACTCAGCTAAATCTGATACTACGAGTGTTTGCTTGAGTCCTGGGACGGCTGCTCAGCAACATGACGTGGGTCCTTCAAGGTGAAATCATAAGACTTATTTTATCCTAATTCGACAATCAGTATCACGCTGCCAATCGTAAATCGCGGAGACCGCGTCTAGGCAAACGTAGTGTAGGGCGCCCTCCAGCTAGGTGGACTGACGATATACGTAAAGTGGCTGGTAGTAGTTGGATGCGTAGAGCTGAAGATCGAGCTCAGTGGCGTGCCATTGGAGAGGCTTATGTCCAGAAGTGGATGAGAACGGGCTGTTGATGATGAATCGTAAATCACATGTCGAAACATGTGTAGACTTACAGTGCTACTGAAGTCAAATCAAATCACTTTTATTTGTCCTGTCCTGATTTGTCTTTTTGTTTTACTAGTATAGTTACGTATAATTAGGTAATGATACGTATTACAATTGAAATTACTGTCATAGGTAGCTAACAGATTAACCTTCCTGGTTTTTACATAAATCTTGACGACTCCTCAGAGTACAAATGTTACAAACATACAAAAATGACAAGGTGCGCCACCAAATCGCTAAGGACATACAGAATGCATTATCTTCTTTGAAAGTAATACCGAACAAGTGCACCATCCAGCCGTATAAGAAAGTTCCCTTGAAGATACAGTTCAAACCAGTCGGAATGATAAGTACACTCAATGTTCAGGTACTTACTGTTCAAGGATAACCATACTTAGTAGAATTTGTTACATCAAACTTTAGTTGGTTATTTGGATTGGAAATATTTAGAGACCTGTTTAATATTTTCTATTGTTTTAGTTAAACATGAAAGTGTTCCAATTCGAGCGGCCCTTGGTTCGTCTCAGTGGCTGTGCTACGGGCATGTTTTTCTGCTTCAGCCAGAACTCGTTGCAATTTGGTCGCGTGCGCAAACGTGGATGCAAGATACTCAAAGTGATGCTCCACAATAAAGGCGATTTTGGGGCTAGGTATCTACTGTAAAAGAGAACATTCCCTAGCTAGTTATTTAAAATAGGTACCTCAGTTAAGTAATAGCAGATACTGTTTTCGCTAAGTCATCTCTAACGCAATTTTAGAGCACGAGGTCAGTATGAGACCATCTTCTGCTGAAGTACTGGACGTCTTGTGGCTAATATAGTGATATTGACGGTGATGATAATCAACTTTTCTTAAATATTATCTCTTCAGGTTCTGGTGGCAGCCACTGATCTCGAACGAGTTCATAATATCCCCGCAGTACGGCACCATAGCTGCTCACACCAACGTCACGTTCACCATCACATTTAGGCCGGTCAATCATAATCCTTTCATTAAAGTGTGGGTATGTATTCTACAATAATCTAATGAAAGGTGTGTCAATATTGAAATTAGGTGCAGTGAATTTCCTAGCAACTGTAGTTAACTTGGATTTTGTCATGATAGTTTGAATTCTAATACAAAGTTGGTTTAGTTAGAATACACAAGAGAGCCAGATGCGATTCTGGAGCGGGGTTAGGCAAAATTATAACATGTTATCTAAAATCACGATACTTACTTCATTCATATATGTTCCAGGCAAGTTGCAACATAGAAAACTACAAGCCTCTTGAATTGGCGCTGTATGCGACATGTGTGGACATGGGTAACGTACAAACCAAGACTATGTACATGGAGTGCCCCGTGCGCGACATCTACACAGACTATGTAGTCGTCACTAATCCGTAAGTGTGACCATAAAGAATACCAATTATTTAAGTATGTACCAATTAATTTAAATTAGCAAGAAAAACTTGTTGTTTTTCGTAAAGTTTGGAGTTTATCTTTGTATATTATTTTCAAATTAATAATTTATAATTAGAGGTGCTTGTTAGGGACCGCGTCGTTGGCCGAGTGGTGGCAAGTGCGACTACCAGGCAAGGGGTCTCGGATTCGATTCACGGGTAGGGCAAAGAATCACTGAGTTTTAAAAAAAAGTCTCAATAGTAGCATGGAGTCTGGAACTTTGCCCGGTATATGGCAATAGGCTCACCCCCTGTTACATGGGACTCATAACATAAATAGTAAAAAGTGGGTGTTACATTGTACAGTGGCATAAGTGACGTAATGTGCCTCTGCCTATCCCTCCCGGGATAAAAGGCGTGATGTTTATGTTGTTAGCCGTTTCACGCTACAATTCAAGAACATTAGTCACTTAGGTAGATTCATAGATACGTACTTTTATGTCTTGTTTGTAGAACTGATGATTTATGGTTCGTTCTATCTGAAATATCTGGTGGACCATTCGAAACTTTGAAAGAGTTATACATTGAACCAAATTCCACGTTAGAAATACCGATCAGCTTCAAGCCGAAGACTCTTGGTAAACATGAGGTAACTTTGCTTCTTTATGTCCTTTACATATGCTTATACATATACAATTTAAATGTATATATAGGTTAACTACTATGTGGGTTAATTTTTTTATCTTAGACTTATAAAGAGTTTGTTTTTTTGTTTGTTGGTTTAAACGCGCTAATCTCCGTAACTACAAGCCTGATTTGAATAACTCTTTCTGTGTTGGATAGCGCATTTATTGAGAATGGCTATAGGCTATAAAACATCACGCTACGTCCAATAGGAGCTGAGCAGAGAGTGTGAAACCGCGCGGAAGTAGCTAGTTAAATTATATTGGTTCCAGAGATTTCCATAGCTGTGTAGTATTTAGTAGGTACATGTTTAAAGTTCTACAGTTCTTATACAGGGTGTAAACGGATCGCTCCCGAAAGTCCGAAACGCTGACAAGAAGAAATTGTTTTTACAGTTTTAATCGTTTTTGTTTTCGTGTTATTCATACAACATCAGCTTTGAACAGTTGATTACAACTACTATTACATAAAAGAAATATTTAATAATATAAAGTAGGTACATACTGAGAGGGAAAGGCCAGGAGCCCATAGCACAGGTTATCCTAGTTTGGGTTCCTGACTTCCATCATTGCATTGTCACTTATATTTCGCAAAACCATATGTAGAACCCGTTTCTCACAACTGTCAATATTATAAAACTAGTATTAAGGTCTGTGTATAATGATGTCACTATGTAATTTGATGGAAAGATAAATAAAATTTATTATTATTCCTTGATAACTGTTACGTTTCTCCCATCTTATTATTATAATTCCTTACTTTTACGAAACTATAACTTGTTCTTTACTATCACCTGTCGGCGTTTTTCTGGAGAGTTCCGTGTACACCGTTCCGTGTACATAGATTCCCTTCTTATTTTTAGAGCCAAGTGTTATATTCACCTCTTGGGGAAAACGCATTATTCGTCACTTTAACTGGAAATGCGCTGACTCCTAACCCTAATGGCACCATCGACGTAAAAGTGCCAGCCAAGGAACTCCTAGTTGAGTTATTATTAGTGTACAACATTACTGAGGTAAATATGTTATCAATATTATTTTGTATTCTATGGTTTGATGCTCTCTATGCTTCGGCTCCTCAAACCGAGAGTTTAGTACGTGCGTATCTACAAGTTTTAAGTTAAGTTTACTTTTGCTTGAAAGCTCTTGAAAGATGCAGTAGTTGATCTACCCTCAAGCAAATTAGACTTCTCTAGCTACCGAGGAAGTAGAACAAGTATCTACCTATTTATTTTCTAGAAGTATGGCTATGAAAGATGAAATACCTACTTACTTTTTTGAAGGACAATGAAAACGGGATACCTACCTACCTAGGTCACCAATTTGATTTTTTTTTCTAGTTCCCCGAAACATATGTAGCGTCGACGGAGCTGGTGAAAGTTGTTCCTGATAAATTTGAAGGCCACTACGAAGTTAAATGTGCAGAAACTATAAAAACGTGGGGAGAGGCGGCTGCCACGTGTCGCTGGACCTTTGTATGTTATGAAGAATGCGAAATGACGCTTAAAGTATGTCTACACATTTATTTAGTACCTTAATTAATGAGATAGACAGGCATGTAGGTACTTAAACAGTAACAAAGCAACTTGTGGTACCTACAATTACAAAGCAATCTGTCTAGACTAGAGCTAATACAGGTTAAGATTTTATTTACCTATTTTATTTTAGGTGGTGTTCGTCAACCAGGCGAGTCGCGAATATCAATTCTACCTCATCAATGTGTTAGTGACTCCGAGCCTCATAGTGGACACGTTAAAGTTTGTCTGCCGTGCACGAGAGATGGCACAAAATGAACTCGTTATTAAAAATCCGCTCTCTGAAGATGCGGAATTCACTATCCACTGTGAAAAACTGCAATGTCCCGATACTTTAAAGATTAATAGGAATTCTGAGGTAACTGTTGAACTCAATGTTGGTACCCTAATCATAAAATTGATGTTAGTGAACTTGATCGCGGTCCGCCATGCCATTGTTGTGAAAATAATCTCGACCAATGACGAACGAGAATGCGATCGAGCTCACTTTGAAAGTTCGAATTTCCCTGGCTCACTCCGAAAGTGCGAATTTCACTGCTGGACTCCACTGCACTACTATTATAGTATAACTAAAGATATAGGTATATCTTATCTATCTAGATACCTAGTTTCGATGTCTGTTAACTCAAAGATATATTATATTTCTGTGATGATGCTCTTCTACTTAATCTGCATATCTACCTAGAGTTACCTATCATCTAACAGCCTAACAGACTATAAGTGCCCACAGAGGCAAAGTCTCTTCTCACACGGAGAAGGTTTGGGAACTATCTAATCACCACGCTTGCTAAATGCGGGTTGAGATTACAAACTTATAATTAGAAATTATGAGCCCAGGTTTCGTCACGATGTTTTCCTTCATTGTTTGTCAGTGGTGTCTAGATAATCGAAGAAAGTACATATAACTCGGAAAAAATCACATTGATATTTGCCGTTGTTAGGTTTCGAACCCGCACCCTTATATATGAGAAGCGGGCGTCTTAAAACCTCCGGGTCACCACGACTTGTTACCCGATGTATGTAGGTACCTTACCTGTATGTCTACTCATTAGGTGTACCTACAATTTGTTTTTCAGGCTGTGTTGTGTATGACGTATTCACCATTAGTGGTTGGTGAAATAGAGGATCAGTTGGAGGTCTCTAATTTCATAGTTGGTACTTACATTTACAAAACGCTGTTGAAATGTCTGCCTGCGAAGGAGAAAAATCTAGTATATGAGACTTCACTTGGGACTAATGTTCCTATCCGTCTCAAAGTGCAAAATAAAAGTGAAGTGAGGTGTGAATTCATTTGTAAGGTAATTCTTTTCTCAACTATTACTGATTTCCGGCTTCAAGAGGGGAAGTCTGTTGTTTTACATACCTACATACATACATAGGTACCGATAGACGTAGGATATTAGGGTGGTAATAGTGATTCACCTCTTATTAAAATAATACTTACTGCTACTCTACTTGTGTAAGGGCCTGTTTTACTATATCTGGATAGCCGCTATATGCCAGATAAATGTGAATATTATGGTACTATGGTAACTAACCTCAGTACTGATACTAAGGTAAATCGTAGAAGTGGGTGAAGTGTATGGCAATGTTAATTTGTTAGAAAAAAGTAGATATTCATTGAGCACCCGAGTCGGTCAGATAATTAAGTAAAGCCGCGCGACGCACCTGCTTTTATTACTCTTAAGCTTATACTGCCAATAGAAAACTGCTGAAGGCAAATCCTCCGCTCTCTGAGTCACCAGTGACCCCCATGGCGTTTAACGTGTTAAGTTTTTGTTAAATGTTTTCCAGGTGTCTCATCCGTCTATACAGGCGGAGAAGGATTACGCTCTCGGACCGCTAGAGAAAGGGAAGTTTTTAGTATGGTTTGAACCTACAGAGCTCGGTGTGCAGAATTGTAGAATTTCATTCGATTCCGAAATTGCTGGCGAATTTATGTAAGTTTATTTACGACATTTTTATTGTAGGTTCATTACTGATTAAAAAAAAAGTATATTAGGTATATTATATTTAGATATATAATAATAAATGGTACACCATTTGTGTTTCTTTACAGATTCAATATAAAAGGAACTGGTACAGATCCGAAGCCTAGAGGCCCATATGAAATAAAAGCTGGCTCGTCTACAATTATAAAGTTCAAGAACATTTTCGATGATACGAAAATGTTTAAAATATACGTTGATAGAGACGAATTTTATGTGAAAACTCTGTACGAGCCTATTAGGCCTAAGAAGGTAAACGAATATACCGCTAAACTGTTTATTGTTAAGCGTTGTTAACTTTCAAGAACCTAGACCGTACGTAATTTTACTTTGATTCAAATCAAGTTAATTTCTAATATAGCTATTATTATTCGGCAGGAATTGAGGATACAGGTGTCCTTAATTGACAGGCCGATATCAGGATGGTCAGTTATGCCTACTGGCACTCTCACCATCGAGAACTGTGAGCCAACAACTCCTAAGGTGCACTGGACATACTTCTTGCAAGGCGTACTTTGATACAGATTGTGATAGCTATTTTGTGTTCTGTCTCTTATTAGTATTGGATTTTTGTTCATTATTACATTTAATATTATAATAATAATATACACAGATTTCATTGTAACAATATTTTATTTCCGTGATTAATTATTATTACCAGTCGCTTACACTGAATTCTTGTACAATGTCACCTTTATCTTCCACTGGTTCCTCGTCGACCTCCATGGCCTTCTTCTTGGTGGGCTTTTTCTTTTCCTTCTTTTCTTTCTTTTTTACTTTTTTCGCCTTAGGAGCGGGTGTGTCATCGTCGTCTTCTGCCTTAAAGTGGTCGCCCTCATCCTCATCGTCAGATGGGAACAACTCTACAGGACCCTTATTTTCTTTTTGAGCGTTTTGAATTGCTTCATCAGTGAGTTTCGGCCTCTTAATCTTGGGCAGTTCACCAGCAATTTCGTCATTCTTAGTAATCTTCTTACGTTTTTGAATTTTGTTTATCTTGCTCCAATTTTCGTAGAATGTTTGCAGAGGTGTTCCTTTAGTTCTGATGTTAGTTTCCCAAGCTACAATCATTTTCTCGTCACTCAAAGAGAAATTAATTTTGGCTCTCTCTCGCTCTATGAATTTTGAGTTCTCCTCAATTTTTTCGAGTAACTGACGCATTTTTTTAGTATAGTTCGATACTGAACATGTCTTCAAAAACTGTTTTATCTGTAAGAATAAAATAATTGTTGGGTTATTGGTAATTTTAAACTATTTATTAAGTTGTACACTAGATTAGATAATAAAAATAAGTACTAAAAGTTAGCTTTAAAATATCATAATTGTAATTGAACATACCTGCATCACAGCTAGTAGTGTTAAATCAGGGAAAGCGATAGTGTGTGATTCATTGGCGGTGTACTCTAACAGGAGGGCGTATATTCTCTCTATCACAGAGTCTTTGAACCCATTCTCCATCAGTTGTGACTTTGCCAGTCTCAGAATGCATGAAAAGTCTAAGGGCTTCATTGAAACCTTCTTGTGTTTCTTATTGAAGTCAAAACTGGTTAAAACCTGTAATTAAATACAAAATATAAAATATTTTACAGAATTCCAAGAATTATGTAATTTTTATCAATAAGATTGATAGTTACCTCAACAAGGAATGGTAATACAGGGACAAAGTTGTTGGATTCTTTTGATAGATTTATCAGAATCTCAACACAATGGAACCGGAGAGGATAATATTGATGTGTGGGCACAAGTTTAATAGTGTTAGTAGTGATCATCACCAGAGGATAGATCAGTGGCTGCAGTTGTGGCTTATTTGATGTTGCTCCAAGTAAGTCTGCCCACAGATGTAATGAATTCACATATTGCCAATTGTAAACAGCTTGTCTGTTCTCAATCTTTTGTACAACAATAGCATTTCTCAAGTGTATAGCCAGCTGTCTGATGTATAAGAAGACATGTTGGTACGAAACATTTAGGTCCAATGAGAACATTTCCACAAGTGATCTCCTCATGAAGTTGATGCCAGGCCAGGTGGAAGGGCTGACGAATTTACAGTTTTTAACATAGGTCAAGTACATGGCCTTTAGTACTTGATCGAGTAATGCTGACTGCTGGTTCCTGGTTATTCTCAATATGCAGAGGAAGGCTAACACTCTCACCGTCTCTTCACCAGTGCTCCAGAAAGTCAGGAGCTTCTTCAGAGCTTGTTTAGCTATCCTAATGAAGCAAGCTACATAAACAGACATTTGATGCAAATGTTTCAGTAACACTGTCAATATATTCTCAGATGTTACACCTCCAAGCAATTTCAGTAAATCACTGAGGTAGGAAATCAAGTGAGTTTTAATTTTAATAAAGTGTTTGCATTTCTGTGGGTCTTTGCCAGACTGTTCCATGCCTAGATATTTTCTAATTGCTCCTGGCAAGTAGAGGACACACATTTGTATTACAGCATTAAACACCGAGGAACCTGTACACAACAAACAAACCACATTAATGAAAAGAATAACAATAAGATATTGTTAAGATAATCAATATTCACAGAAACAAGTAGAAATGTAATAAAATATAATACCTTCAACTTTATACTCTCCCGTTGAGGCTCCATCCTCACTTGTGGCCCTAACCATGGCTGCATTGAAAGCCTTTATGACAGTAGTTATTGTTGTCAGCTTTACTTTGACTTCATTTTGTAGTTCTGCTTGCCACTGGGCAACCATTTTAAGGGTGATTTTCCCCTGAACTGGTTTTGCATCTTCATCCTGTAAAGATAACAAAATGCAAAGTTTAATTCAAAGGATATATTTAGACTTATTAGCTCAAAATTATTTCTTAATAATTAAATGTTACCTCAAAGTCACTTTCATCACTGTCTGCCCTGAGTGGGCCTGGTTTGTGAACTTTTTCATCATCATCATTGTCATCATCTTCCTTGTCTGATGCATCATCACCAGACTCCACATCGAAATTCAACAAATTTTCATCATTCTCCTCCAAGAAATTGTAAAAATCTGGATCTGTTTTCTTTAGTTTCTCCAATGATTTCTTGTGAGTTTTGGGATCTAGATCTTCTTCTGAATCTGGTTCTTGTTCTGACTCTGGTTCTTGGTCTGACTCTGGTTCTTGTTCTGACTCTGGTTCTTGGTCTGACTCTGGTTCTTGTTCCGACTCTAGTTCTTGTTCTGACTCTAGTTCTTCTGAATCTGTAATTCATAATTTCTATAATGTTAGTTCATGAAACATTCTTTCAACAATCATACGTTGGTTATGTTCATGCAACTGTGTTACAATTTACACTGGACACATACAATCACAATTAGGTGTCAATAATATAGTCCAGGTTTCTGAACAATATAATCTAAAATAAAGGAAATAGAATTTGTATGATATGTAAAACATTTACATCATTTGCAATCAGTTTCACCATAATTAAAATTTTGAGAAATATTTATCGTGTACGACTATACCACGACTTGCAACTGACCTGAGTTTTCAGAAGATTCTGCCTCCACGGGTGCTTTATTCTTTTTCATTGTGTCTATTCACAGTAATATAACAAATAAGAGAATAAATTTTACTTAAATAATATCCACGTGCTTTTCGGCATGCATGGAATAAACAAATTACATGTCACGCAAAATGTCATTCCGATTTTGACATATACTTGCTTGACAATGACATAACAACTGACATTAGTAGAGTTGCGCTCACTACTTTACTGCATACTATTACTAACAAGCGTGGAAACCATAGATTATAATCATACTATAACTGGAAATGAGAATGTTTGTACCGTGCGAGTGTGTGCTGTGTACAACCAGCTGAAAATTTGTAAAAATTGCGCAGGTTGTCTTTTGCGGCATTGCAGTTCCACAGAAAACAAAAGTATAGTTCGAGAAAGGTATAGAACGGTATAGAAAAATATTACGAATACGATCATTGATCATTGATTGTGTGTTCGATTTGAGATTTGACCAGCTGAAAAGTGGTAAAAAGTCAAACGTAATATATCAAAACATTTTTTAGCTTTTGATTTGACATTTCATTGCAGAAAAATTGGCAGACACACACAAATAAATCCGTGCTGAAAAAATTGTGAGTTTCACGTTTCTAGAATTGATAATATGTATTATTTCTTTAAATTTCAGTAACTTTAAATATTTTATAAAAGGCAGAGATGTTTTATAGTCTTCTAAATGTGTATTCCATTTTATTCTAGATTGCATCATGTTGTCGCGTATGTGCGTAGCACGATCCACCATCAACGTAGGCTATACCCTCAAATCATCAGTTCCCAGTAATTTTGTACCAAAGAATTATGTCGTGCGGTGCTATGCACGAGCACCAGGACCCCGTACTAGAGTTGCTTCTCAATCACAAGCGTCATCACTATGGTCTCGACTGATGGCCCCAGCTGGACCTAATGGTAAATAAACCTTATTATTGTTACATTTTTAAATCTTTAAAGCTGAAGCAATGTAAAATATACTTATACTATTGATGCAATATTTAAGAACATAATTTGTTTTCTAGCATTCAGCATGGGAAAAGGTGCTTTGGCGGGGGCATCAGCTGTTGGCTTGGGCGCACTTTGTTATTATGGCTCTGGAATAAGGCCCGGTGTGTGCACAGAAGCACAGTAAGTAATTATTATTTGATTTACATCATTTTCTGTTTAAAGGAAAATGTTTGCTGGTAAACTTAACAGTTCCAATTGAAATCAGCTAGAGTTAATATGTGTTGAGTTTTATATCATAGTGATGTGTTTGAATTCTTTCATGAGTTCGTTGTAATTTCCAGATTTTGGTAAATGATATGTAATTAAATTTGTGCAGTTATACTAATATCTGAAAACTGAGAAATTACATAATTTTTTGCATAATGACTTTGCAATCTTATTTATTTTGATAACCAGTTGAATTTTAATAAAAATTTGTTTTCTATTTTCAGTCTCTGGCCACAATATGTGAAAGATCGCATTAAAGCAACATATGGGTACATTGCTGGTTCCATAGTCTTAACTGGGGGTAGCGCCTACACAGTATTCAGAACACCTGCATTATTAAACCTAGTTGCAAGGAATGGGTGGATGGTAAGTGTATGAATTTTTTTCAGTTTCATGCCATTTTGACATTAATAGTTATAATAACTACTTAGACGAGTTGGTTCGATTTTTAATTGACATAGTACATTTACATTTTTCAATCAAATTAGATACTTGTGCAAGTAAATGTTATCCTATTTCAGTCCATCATAGTGACTCTAGGCATGATGATTGGCTCTGGAATGGTTGTGCGAGGTATGGACTACACACCCGGGTTTGGGGCCAAACAATTAGCTTGGATAGTACACACTGGAATCATGGGTGCTGTCATTGCACCTATGTGCTTCCTAGGCGGTGCTGCTCTTACTCGTGCTGCTTGGTAAGATATTGTATAATTTTTGTAATGTACTAAATTCAATAAAGCTCTTTAATTCGTGTGAAAGTGTATTTAAATATGTTTTGTTTCCAGGTACACAGCTGGTGTGGTAGGCGGTCTAAGCACAGTTGCAATCTGTGCTCCATCAGGTGAATTCTTGAACATGCGTGCACCACTGGCCATGGGTCTAGGAGCCGTATTTGCTGCATCTCTGGCCAGCATGTTCGTACCACAGGCTACTGCACTTGGAGCAGGTATATTCTGTTTTTATTACAAACTACAAAGACTAGCCAATGAAGATGTGCCCTTATAATTATACTTTCCTGAAATACAATCAGTATCTTTTGTTTACTTGTAATATAGAACTAACTAAACTATGTTCATGTTTCAGGACTCTATTCAATCAGTTTGTATGGTGGTCTGATAGTATTTGGCGGTTTCCTATTGTATGACACACAAGCTATTGTCAAACGTGCTGAGGTTCACCCCATGTATGGATTACAGCCCTACGACCCGATAAACTCGTAAGTACATTTTGATAACTTTTTGTCTTGGAGAATTTTTTATCAGATTAGTTATCACTGTCGGTATATCAACAAATTGTTGTCCTGATATAAATGTTGTTTTGCAACACAACAATCCATTGACAATGTAAATCATTCCATTTTCTATTTTGGCTTTGACGGGAATGTGTCTAAATAAATTGTCTATTGTTACAGAGCTATTTCGGTATACCTTGACATCATAAACATCTTCATGCGAATTGCCATCATCATGTCTGGAGGCGGCGGCAACAGGAGGAAGTAAAAGTATGGAAACTGGCTAGTGCTTTCATATAATTATTTGCTGTAAAAAAATCGAACAAAACGAAATTGTTGGTAGACAGCAGAAACTTAGGAAATAAATAAATATAATGTTGTTGACTGAAACAAATTAATACTGAATGTGATATTATTGTTGTGTAGTCAGTAAGTTGGTGTATGTCGTATTATTATTTGGCATTAATAAATGGACAAGTAGTCGTTATTGACTTTTTTTATACCCTAATTAATGTTTTATATTTAAAATTACAATAAAATTTACAGTCGCAAATATTCAAGATTTAAGAAAGACAATTTAAGAAGTTGTCTTAGAATGTGCTTGGTATTAGTGATTGGACAGTGTTGTATTTATTTAGGACATGACAGAGAATGAAATCGCACTAATACTACTGATTACACAACAGATCTGAATTCCTAACTGTAGAAACAAACAGATCCTAATTATTTATTCAAATTATAGAATTCACAGTATTCAAAAACAAACCTGTATTTTCTTTATCCCTTGTAGCTTACAATAAATTTAAATAAGAAGTTACCCACGACAAAATATTCCTGGATGTAGATACAACACTCGTTTTAACAATTTCATTATTTGTAGTGACTGCATCGTCACGGGTTCGATTACTGCATTAGGTTATTGTATAGTCGGTCGGATTAAAGTTCTGAAATTTTTTTTGCAATTTAATTAGTAGGTCGAAGCTTAGTGTGGTTTTACATCCCCAGTGCCAGACAGTACGGAAATAAAACAAACTTGATACAGCGCTCGGCATATTTCTACAGTCGTGTCTCGCCAGTGCACTGTGTTTCATGTATCATGAAAGAAAGAGCACTTACGTTTCCGCACATAGGTACTGCACTAGAATTTCCTCATGCGCAACTCAAAAAGGGCTCGTACACAAAAACTGCATGCGACGTCGCATCGCAAAAATGTGCGAGGTCCCTCTACGCATCGCGCATCAAACTCTTATCTTCCCAAAATCTTCTGTTTCTTTTTCCTGTATCTCTTAAACAATAACATAAGTGTACACTTCTTTACAGTTTCGTATAGTTACACTTTAGTATACATGTCACGACCTAGTTTTCAATTTAAAATAGGTACGTTTAGTACCTACGGTTGACGGTTGTCGAAGGAATGCTCACCCTGGGTGACGCCTTGTCGCACGAAATCGCATCGCAGCAATTCGCATCATAATTTTCTGCGTTGCGAATTCGCATCGGAGTTTTGTGTACGAGCCCTAATAGGTATCTGTTTTCTTTGGTCGCCAAATTCAGAATTGGCGACCAAACGACATTAGTTCATTTATTTATCGACTATTAACTGCCCCGGGAAACGTCGTACCTACCACCTAAAATTATTTCTCACCTTTCGAGCCTTCCCTGTACTTCCACGAACATTTCAATACTAATAGATTTGGTTCAGCCGTTCTCGAGTCTTAGCGAGGCTAACAAACAGATATTCATTTTTTGTTATATAGATTTGAAAAATAAAACAAATTCACGTTTTAAATATTGTTTATTTACATGACTAAATTGCAGCATTTACAATCAGTAATCAATTAAAATGGAATATGCATTTGATTTTTAAGTAAATACAAATATAGATTGCATAGGCCTGCCAGCAAGCAAATTTTTGATGAAAGTTTACGTAGGATTGAAAGAGGACTAGAATTCTGTCATAGTAAATTCGATTTTAAACAAGAAATGTAACAAAAATAATACATTTTTAAATCTCTTACATTTTATCCAATACAAATAAATAATACACATTGCGGAATGCAATTAAACATAAGACCCTATTTATTATAATAACGCAAAAGCTTTAGTTTATTGTCGTAAAGTACATAAGAAAAATAAAATATCACAATTATTCATTAAATAAAGGCTCTTTGGAATTATAATTAACATATTTAATACTAAAAACTACAGATTCAATAATAGTATTGCTGCTCTTTTGATAGTTATACATATAAGGTAAGGTGAATCCATATTAAATGCACATAATTTTGGAAATTATTAGCAGTCAATATTATAGGTAGTACGTGATATATAATTTATTTTTAGACATAATAGTAATGTATATTAGTTGCCGTAGAATAAGTACCTGAATTTGGAGTTAATTTAACGACTACGATCGTATAATGGTCCAACTTAAATAGTTGTTATACCTACAAGAAGTTGGACACGCGTATCCAAGTTCATATAATTTATTATTCGACAGAAAATTGGGATTAAATAGTTCATTACTATCATTGTAATTCTTACACTACTGGTGTTTTATTACGTACATAAATATAATTATAATAATGACCAAAAATATTATACCTTATGAGCAATAAAATTATTACACGAGATCTTTCCGTCCTTATATTAAGTAGTTATATCGCCAGTCTTATGTGCTTGCTGCTTCAAATAAATCGCATACATTTGTCGCGCCTGGTTCAGTACCCTGTTAACGTTGTGTTTACGAACCATTTTGTCAAAATGCATCGCGAGCTCGTTGTAATCCATGCGGTTCCTCATGATATAGTCGCGGTGTTGTAACAACACAGTTAAACAAAGGAACATCAAAAATGGATTTCCACCTCCGAACAGTGTCGGCGGTGGAAGGCTGCTAATGCTCGTCTTAGCCGAGTTGTCGCTGGACACTGATGAAATGCTAGCAGTTTTTTGCATCGGAGGTTTAAATACCTCGTACTTTTTCTGAAAACTGTTTATAGTTGATGCAACACTGTGTAGGTTCGTTTGTTTGGCATTTAAGAGAGATTCGCAGTTCTTTTTTGCGTTTTCTAATTCTTGGGACATACTTGAGAAGAATTTCTGCGACCTTGACGTGTTAGAATTATTCGGTAGATTATTTTTTATTGTTTCTACGTTTGTCGATTCCCCGATGTCCTTTTCAGATTCTGATCCACTAGAGTGCGTATTAGAATGTTTAGTATCGCGATATACTTCTTGGGGCTCTAATGACTGATTTTTTCTTAGTAATCTTATTGGCGTAATGGATTTTTTACCAGAATGCTCCTCAAATATTTCTCCGGTGTCTCCATCGAAGTCCAATTCCGCCTGTTCATCAGGTGTCTGGGGGCAACTTGCTGTAGTTCGTGTCGTCGGCGTATTCCTATGTAATGGATTCTCCCACAAATAAATGTCTTCAGCGCTCCTCGCATTAGATCGAACAGTTTCAAGCAAAGGTGATTTCTTTGTGGTTTCTAGTACATGCGGTCGAGTTTCCTTTGAGTTTACTTTGAGATCCTGTTTGATCTCAGTACAATCATGTGTTGGTTTGTCGTCCGTGCTAGTAGAGTCTGAAGGAGAGTCGTACATCATGCTGCATCTGTTAATATACGAAGGGCCAAATACTTGTCTGTCCAAATGTTCCAATTCAAGTCTTAATTCTCTAGTCATAGACGTCGTCATGGGGTAGTACTCTTGTGAATCATCGGGACTGCTGCCATCATTTGCGTCTGAACAAGTGTTTTTATTCATTTTACTACTTTTATCAGATTTCGAATGATGCACCCTCACATCGTCAAGCGATGTTTTAGTGAGAGTTATTCTCGGACATTCCTTGGAGCTCCGCTCTATAACAGAATGAGTTCTTTGTAACTTCTCCTGTGTTACCGCACCTACTTTACTACCTGTCGCAAAGTTCAGGAATTCGTTGAGATTTTTAATCATTTTTACTTTCGGTTTGCTCGATGATTCTATGCTAACAGACTCAGAGTCGAGCTTGTCAAGAGAAGAGAAGAATTTGTTATTATGCACGGATATCTTATCACGCAATAATCGTATTTGGTTTCCTAGAGGAGTATCCTTCACGTCTCCGTGTGACGTTCCGTTCATCAAGTTCCCAGTACTGGACCACGCGGTAGCATGAGCCTCTTGTGCTGACGGAGTCTTCTCGTGTTCTGGAACACTCTTCATACTCCTTCTGGACTGAACTTTATTTGATTCTTTAGGTGATAAACTGTTTTCTTTATTTTTCTCAGCGTCGTATCTATCTAACTTCGGTTTCTGTGCCTGTAGAGTAGCATCATCTAAACTTTGGAATTCTTTCGCATGTTTTAATGACGAATTGGTTACAACGTGGCGTGTGGCGTTTTCGTCTAAACTGTGGTTCATTTGCTTACACGTGGCTAGTTTCGGTGCCTTAACGTTGGCGAGGCTGAAGCTTGAGCTCTGTCGCCTAATGGCGCATACTTTGGTGTATGCATTTTCTCGAGGAGCTTTTATCAGGGGGCTTAATGGAGGCGGATCGTCATCAATTTCGATTGCAGGATCGAATTCTTTTTCCTTAAGAGATAAGTCGGTAATCGGAGTCTTTTGAGGTAATGAAGCCCATAAGACTTCGAGCATTCTTAGGGCATCATCAAAGGCGAATTCTCGTTTCATTTCTAATAGTAACCAGCGATAGCAGAAGAGTAAGTCATCAGCTTGTTGGGACTTTAGGTAGTTGTAGAAGTCGGGATCGTAGACTTGCAGCGACTCAGTCAGGTGGGAGAACTTCAAGGTCATGGCCTCTCCATCGAGTAGGAAATTTGGGTACAAACGAGTCATTAGTGCACACAGACATATGTAGGCGTGTGCTTCGTCCCCCATAGTGACAAGCAACGGCGATGCTAGGTCGGACATACCTTGACAGTAGCTTACTGTAGGGTGGTTCAGGGCGTACCTGTCGGGAAAAAAAAGAGAAATCATTAATGTTTCATTCAAAACAAAGATCGAAAAATAGTAAATAGTCTCTTCATTCTTAGTGATCAATACTGTATATTATCTTTAATACACAACTTACGTAGTAAGTATATTGAAGAGTGAGGCAATATTCTGGTTGTCATCACTGCCGGCGTAGAAGTTGTGATGTCTGTCTGTACGTAACACGTCTTTGCGAACCATTCCAGTTACGTAAGCTAAGTCAGCATTTACCTACAAATAAACACAAGTAAGTAACATTTGGTAAGATATGATACCTAGTCAAAAACGCATCGA